TCCCCATAGGGAGGTGCCGTTCCCGGCGGGTTCCCCCGTGTCCCTGCACCAGCTCCGTCCCCTTGCGGAGCTCCGGGTGGCCCCGCAGGGCCGCGGGGAGCAGATGGGGGGCACTTCCCTGAATGAACATGCGGGAAGTGATTAAACCCCAGCCAAGCCGCTGCGGTGGGGGACAGGGAAGAGGTTGGAGGGGGGGCAGAGCTTGGGGAACCCAGGATGGGGCTAATTCACCCCAAAATCTGTGATGCTGAGGGGCTGCAATGGGGAAGCATCAACCCAAAGTGGGGCAGGAGGTGGGGATAAAGCAGCCCGAACCCATGGACTTAGGTTGGCCGCAGCAATGAGCAGCCATTAACAATAAAGGTGATCCTCGTTTCTCAGGGTTTTTCCCCCTTTTGAATTGCCTCCTGTGGTACCATTGCCCTGCCTGTTGCTGGGGACCCGCATCCTGCCCATCACCTGCACCTTTGGGCGCTGAGCCTTCTGGTGCTACCATTGCCCCACCGGCTCCTTCTCATCCTTCACATTACAGCAGCTGGGAACCCTCTACGGGGACCAGCATCAGGCCCAAGGGGGGTTTTGGGGTTGGATGGGTCTGGAGACAAGGGAGCTGCTGCGGTGCCTCCATCCCGTGTAAGAGGGATGAGATGGGCACTGGAACTGGGGCTTTGGGTGAGCAGAAACGGGAGACAAGGGAGGGGTTTGTGCCTTGGGGGCTGCAGGGACTCCAGGGGCTGGAGATGGGCACCTCCTGCCCTGGGTGATGCCCCACATGCGGCGGTGCTGAGGCTGGGGGGGTGCCAGCTCCCCTCCGGTAATCTGCATCTCCACTTTAATCCCCCCCCCGCAGGAGTGTCCGAGGGCACAACTGACGCAGGCTGATTTGAAAGCATCCCATATTCCAACTGAAACCCTGCCCTAAACCCCCCTAATCCCCGCGCTGGAACGGATTGCGGGAGCCAGAGGGAGGATAATGCGGGCGCGGGGGGCTCCGCCACCCATCACTGAGTGAATTACACGGTCCCTGCAGCAAACGGCCCCCAGCCCATCCCCTTGGCCTCCAGCCCCTTCCACCCTTGGTGCCTTTTCACCCCTCCATCACCTCCCTGCTCCTTGCAGCGGGGCTGAGCACCAGGGCTTCAGATCCCAGGCACTGCTGTGGGGGATCAGCATCGATGGTACCCAGAGGATGCTGCAATGGCCGCGGGGTGGTGGCGGTGCCAGGGCAGGGAGATTCCCCCTTCCTTTTGCTTTTCCTTCTCCTGCTCCTCCTGCAGGGGTTTCTGTGGGAGCTTCCTGCGTTGTCCCAGCAGCCGTGGAGCCAAAGGGGCTCGGTGGTGCCCGGGGTGCGCAGGGCTTGGCACATCAGGGTAGGATATTGTGGGGCTTTGGTGGTTTGGGGTCCAGCACCAGCCATGAGGAGCATCCTCAGATGTCCCCATGCAGCCGGGGTGGCACAGGAGGAGCCTGGACACTGCTGGGGTGGCTGGGACCGTGCCTAAGGAGGGTTGGTGCCCAGCAGGCAAATGGGGGCGCTGGGATGAGCTGGGAGGGGAGAAGGCAAAGCGAGAGGGGATGAACCAGCAAACCCTGCTTGGAGCCTCCCCGATACCCTACAGAGCCCTCCCCATGGGCCCACAGTGACCCCCAAGCTTGTCCCTGTCCCCACAGTGCACAGGGCCCTGTGGAGGCAGCAGGTCAGGGCAGCAGAGCAGCAGCAGGGGCACGGGGCTGCAGCGATAGCCACGGATTAAAAGCAAATGCCCAGATAATGAGGCTCTTTGGTAAAAAGCCCATTTGTATCATTTAAATCTCTAACAGGCTTCCTGGAATACAAAGCCCTTTGTGATGCCCGATCTCATCTGGATCAGGAGCCGCTCGCTAAAGCTTCCCTTAGCACAGTGGGATGCGGGGACGTTTCATAACGCGGCTCCATCCCACGTCCCCCCGTCCCCGCATCCCCACGCTGCAGCGCATCCCGCTCACCCCATCAGGCAGCCAAGGTCGGGCCTCCATGGACACGTGTCCTGCTCCCTGCGTTGGCACCAGTAGAGCCGGGACTCCACGGAGATGGGCACCTTTGGGGTGATGCAGGCACAAGCAGGCCCCCAGCGCTAGGAATGGCCATGGAGGGCAGTGGGGGCAACTTGGTGCCCACTTTTCAATGCCACCTCCCCTGGTAGCCTCTGCAGGAGCGCAGCCCCCTCACGGGTTCCCCACCATTGACACGAGTTGCCATCAGGCCCGGAGCACCATAGGGGTGGTGGGGACCAGTTCTGCCCCAGCTCATCCTGCCCTAGGTCTGGGGCTGCCGGCACAGGGCGTGCTGAGCTCTGCAGGGCTGGCCGGGGGCTCAGCTCCTCCCTGCTGTGTCCCACCATGGGGCTGGAGGGATGAAGAGGTGATGCCAACGTCCTGGGGAGCTCACGGGCCCATTGATGCCGGAATGGTTGGGGCCTGAGGGATGCTGGTGCGGGGGCGAGGGCAACCAGAGGGGTCTGGACCCAGCCTTGGGCCTTATCCCCCTGCCCTCCCCGGGGACCGAGGGGTTAAACGGCATCGCCGCTGCCACCAGCGCCACCACGGCCACGCGTGAGCCCCGGGCTCCCTCTCGTGGCCTCTCGCCCCTTCTCATGCAGTAACCGAGGAGCCAGCGGGGACCGGGGGCAGCGGCAGCGGGGACGGGGTCTGGGGGGGCTCAGGGGGGGAGGCTTCAAGCCGGGGGGGGTAGGGGGGGAACTGGGGGGGTCTCCAAGCCGGGGCCACGATCCCCCCGCGGCCACGGCCCCCGGGACACCGAGGATGGACCCCGGGGGGGGGGGAGTCCTCAAGAGGGGGGTCCAGGGGGAGGGGGGTACCGGATGCGGCCCCCCCCAGCGCTGCGCGGGTGTCGGCAGGTGGCAGCAGCGGCCTTCGGCAGCGCTGGGCTGCGGGAGCGCCGGGATTGGGGACGAGAGAACGCAGCACCCTGCGAGCCCCGCACCCAGCACCCAACACCCAGCACCCAATGCCCAGCACCCAACACCCAACACCCAGCACCCAACACCCAGTGCCCAGCACCCAACACTATCACCCATCACCCATCACCCAACACCCAACACCCATCACTCAACACCCAACACTCAGCGCCCAACTCCCAACGCCCAACACCCAACGCCCAGCGCCCAACACCCAGCACCCAGCACCCAACACCCAATGCCCAACGCCCCATGCCCATCACCCAACGTCCAGCACCCAATGCCCATCACCCAACACCCAACGTCCAACACCCAGCACCCAACACCCAGCACCCAGCGCCCAACACCCAACACCCAGCGCCCAACACCCAATGCCCAACGCCCCATGCCCATCACCCAACACCCACCACCCAGTGCCCAACACCCAACACCCAGCGCCCAGCACCCAAAGCCCAGCACCCAACACCCAACGTCCAACACCCAGCACCCAGCACCTAACACCCAGCGCCCAACACCCAACACCCAGCGTCCAACACCCAATGCCCAATGCCCCATGCCCATCACCCAACGTCCAGCACCCAATGCCCAGCACCCAACACCCATCACCCAACACCCAGCACCCAGCACCCAACACCCAGCACCCAACACCCAACACCCAGCACCCAACACCCAGCACCCAACACCCGGCACCCTGCCAGACCAGGCCCCTGCACCCACATCACCCTCAGCACCCAGACAGCACCCACTGCAACCCCACATCGCCCCGCAGCACCCTGCCATGTGCTCGGCACTCCAGGGCATCCCCTGCACCCTACAGCACCCTCCCCACAGCACCCTGCCCCCCTGCCCAGCCCCCGCAGGACCCCACACCCCAGCCCCAGGCCCAGCTCTGCCCCAGCCCCTTGTGGCCCTGTTCCCTTCTTGCGTGGCCCCTGCAGTGTTCCCTGCAACACACAGGGTCCCCCCCAAGGGCACAGGGGCACCCCGAGGCCTTGGGATGCTGCAGGCAATGGCTGGGGGTGACCAAGCTGCTCCCTCTAGGGACCAGGGAGCAGCAGCACAGAGTGCTCTGGATCTGCCAGCATCCCCCTGTCCCATCATCATCCCCTGGGGACCCCAAGGCTGGAACTGTCCTTACTGGGGGACATCCAAGAGCATCTCCGCACACCACATCCATGCCCCTCACGGGCTGCACGGGAGGCAGCCCAGGCCAAAAAGGGCCCCATGCAATGGGCCTGTGCCACAGCACTGGTTTAGGGATGGTTTTCTGTGTCACGGGGATGTGGTCCCAGGCTTCTGTTCCTGCTGGAGCCCAGTCTGGGTGTGAGGAAGGGGCTGGCTGGTGGCCTCTGGTGATGTGAGAGGGAAGAGGAGGCACCGCAGAGCCCAAGTGTGTAATTACGGCTATGGCTCAATCGGCACAATGGGACACACGATGGGCACTGCGCGACTCGAACAACCCGTGAGGACCGGGGTTAAACCCGCATCCACCGGCCCATCCCAGAGCATCCACTGGGGCAGGAGGCCCCGCCGCTGGTGGGGCGCACGGAGGGGCTCTCAGAGGGTCCCCCCCTCGGGGTCACTGAGCTGGGGAAGCGGCTTCTGCCCCCTGCAGCTTGTGACGGCTGCCGGCTCCATCAGCCTGGAGCCACGGCCGCAGGGGCTGCAGGGAACCGGTGCCGTGCTCGGCTGGGACCGGCCCCCGGGAGGGCTGGACCGGGGCTGCGGGAGGGGCAGGACGGGAGAAACTGAGGCAGGGAACGGGGCCCGAGCCGCCCCCGTCCCGCCGCCCCCGGGGCCGGGGGAGGGACCGGAGCGGGGCTGCCCGGCGCTGCAGCGGGCGGAGCCGGGGCTCGGCGGGGCCGCGCTTGCCCCCGCCTCCCGGTGGAGCCCATTCGTGCCGAACCGAACGGAACGGAACCGGTTCCGAACCGAACCCAACCGCACCGGGCGGCCCCGGCGGTACCGGCAGCACCGGGCCCCGGAGCTCTCCGCGGTGCTGAACGGCGCCCGCGGGGGCCCAAGCCCGGCCCGGAGCGGAGCGGAGGGGAGCGGCGGCCGCGGGGGATGGAGCCCTTCCTGGGCTGCACCGGCGCCGCGCTCCTGCTCTGCTTCAGCTACGCCGGTCTGAGCCCGGTGGAGGCAGGTAAGGGCCGCCGGGCCCCGGGAGGGGATGCCCGGGGAGAGGGGGGGGGGGGTCCCGTAGGGAGGCGGGGGCTGAACCGAGGGGACCGAGCCTGGGGCATTCCAGAGGGACCTCGCCGGTAACGGGGTGCGGGGGACACGGGGGGTTCCGGCCACGCAGCGCCGGGGCACCGGGAAGCATCAAGCTCTCGCCCCACCGTGTTCCAGCCCTTGGGAAGGCGGCACGCAGGGATGGGACACAAAACCGAGCCCCTCTCCCAGCGCTGGCACCGGGGAGGTGAGCACTGTCCTGGCCCGGAGCCACGGCACCGGCTCAAGGCACAGGGGGAGCCAGAGCCAAGGAGGCAACCCCAAATCTGCTCTGCCCTCACCATGGCACCTTGGCCTTGGTGCCACGCTGCCCCGGGCCCGGCCAAGGCACTACTGGGGGCACTGGGAGCTCCCCATGGGAGCTGCCTCTCCTAGGGCACAGCAGAGCCCGGGCACCTCAAACCAGGCCCCTTGGAGCTCTGATCTTTGGGGAAGCTGTGATTCTGGAGGGCTCAGCACCAGCTCGGGTCCACTCTTCCCCCCTGTGTCAGCCTGGCTGTGCCTTCACCAAGCACCCAACGCCTGGGTGCTGGTGGAACCAAGCAGACGCCCTCCCTGGTGCAGTAGAGCCTGCCCAAGCGCTGCCTCCCTCACTCGCTGCCTGCAAGATGCTGCTGGAACAGCTGCTTTGTCTGATTGCCGGCGTATCCGGCATTCCAGGAGCATGGGGGTGACTCTCAGGGATGCAGGACTCCAGGGAGTGGAAATTCCTGTGCTCGGGAGTTGCTTCAGTTACATCTGCCCTCGTCCTGCCTGTGCAGGGCTGCAGCAGCCCCTGGATGCTTTCAGTGCTGTCACCCAGCCCCTCGGCCAACCGTGGGCACCTCAAGTTGCTGTTTCACAACCAACAGCCCCGGGTTGATCGATGAAACATTCCCCAAAGGAACACATTGGGCGATGAGGAAAAGGCGGCGGGGCAATGGAGGCGGCTGTGATTGTCACAGCGCTCCTGGGCTGCTGTGAACTGAGCCATTTCCCTGCTCTTCCTTATCCTTGGATCACCTCAGTCAACACGGGGTTGTGTGCTGCCCATCACGCCTCCTGCTCCTGTTGCAGCAGCGCTGTGTGTGGTGAGGTGTCGGTGAGCACCCAGTGCTGCCCTGGCTCATGGCTATGGAGTGCAGGGGGGATGCTCCAGGCTCTGGGGCTCTGTGACCTTGGGGCTGTTGCCACTCACCCTCAGCCTCCTCTTCCCATGGCCTCCTCCACCGAGGGCTGTGAAGTGGCCTCCCTGCACCCTGGCGAGGCAGCGAGCGCGTGCTGTGCCTGGGGAAAGAGAGGAATGAGGATATGGAATGGTTTTCCCAAGGTCACGCAGAGGGAGCGGCAGCATCGCCACCCACTCTACCCGAGGATGGGCCCACAGAGGTGTCCCAGCCATCAGGAATGCCCTGGAGAGGAAAGGGTTCCCAGCAGGGTCAGGTGGGGATGGAGGCTCGGCCATCCCTCCTCTTGCACCCCATGCAAGTGGGCTCACAGTAATGCCCCTTGTGACAGGTGAAGGCTGATGGCACCCAGGAGGGGACTGTGGGTGCTGTTTCCTCACCCGTGTCCTACTGGGTGTGCTTGTCCCTTCCTCTGAGCCAGGGGAACGCAGCCACCCCTGCTCTGGTGGGATGGAAACCAGGAGCAAGCAATAGGCCCAAGAAAGCAGCTCTATGGAGATGGGAAACGGAGCCACACCAGCCCTTTTGTGTCTCACAACAGACACAGACATTCCTGGCCATGGACATTCCTGGCCTTAGACATTCCTGGCCAGCTGACAGGCAGCATAAGCACTTTATTGATTCCTGCATTCAGTTCAGGAGAGATTTAATTGGAATGTGGAGGTTCCTCACCCCATGTCAGTCCCTTAGCAGGGATGCTGCTGCACAAAGCAGCTGAGGTTGTGCCATTCCTCTTCCAAACCTGGAGAGGTCTTCTGCTGGGAATACACATGTGGAAAACAGGTCTCTCCCAGCGAGGGATGTGCTCGCAGGCAGTATCCATGCACTGAGCAGGGGAGCGTGCAAAGCTGTATGTGTGCAATAGAGATGGGATTGTTGGATGCAGGAGTCAGGACCAGGCAGCAGGCTCTGGGTACCGGGAGCTCCAGGGCTCGCTCAGCCCCTGCCTAGGAGAGAGCTCTCTTGTTTCTCTGATGTGACCCAGTTGGAGAAGAGCCTGAGAAGACCCCGGTACCGAGTCCTCCTGGGCATCCAGGTCCTGGCTCAGCCATGCCCTGGCAATGACTCTGCTTGGGGTTGGCAATGTTAAAACCCAAGTCATGGTGCTGGTGTGACCTGTCTGCCTTTGGGACTCTGGGAGTCCGAGGCTGGGCAGTATGGAATGTCCTCCACAGTAGAAATACTCCTTAGCTCTGCCCTGGAGCAAGCAGGACACACTTCCCAATGGCCAGGCTGGACACATGGAGCATCTCTGTGCTCCCTGAATAAGCTCCATCCTCCTTGGCAGCATTTCCCAATGCACATTTGGGTACCTGCTCCATGGACACTTGGCAATGGGGCTCTGGGGGGGTAAGGATGATGCTGGTTTATTGATACCCTGTTTACACAGGGTGGTCAGCAGGGAATAACGGCCTCTTTCCCGGCCTGGAGAGCCACCAATTGGTCTTTCAGCTCTTTGAAACAGTCAGAGCTTAACAAACAGCCCCATGGTAGTGGGGTGCAGTGGTGGGCCCTGCTTCTTCCCACTCCCTGGCAGGCTCCATCCATTAACACACTCAGGGAAGCTGCAGCCCTTCCTCCATAGGCCATAAAGAGAACAAGGAATTCCATCTGCTGAAGGGATTCGTGCTGGGGGAGCAAAGAAAGGCTCCAAAAGGCAGCAAACCCAAGTCTTTTTATACCTACACTCACCCAGTTCTTCACAGAGAACATCACACAGGACCTCATGGGATGCTTCTTCCCCTGGCAGGTCGTGTCCTTCCATCTCCCATGTCCGCAGCGAAGGCTGTGGTGCAGGGGTATAGAACTACAGGGATTTGAGGCTGACATTCCCTGCTTCCCACAGGGAAAAGCAGGCAGCTTGCAGGTTGATAGCACTGAATGAGCATGTCGGAGCCTGGCAGGCCCTCTGCTCACTGGACCATGTCTGAGGGCTTGGAAGCAGCTGAGCCTTTCCCAGCAGGAAAGGAGCTGCCTGTAGGAGATGAGTGAAGTGAACTGGTAAATGCTGTGACTAAAGGCAGCCTTAGCCATGGAGGAAACTGCACCTGGAGTATCCAGGAGAGCTGAATCCAGAAGGAACAGATCTGGGGGCCCTGGCTGGGGAGATCAACCCTGGAGTACCCCCTCATTCAAAACCTGCAGCCTGGCCACAGGGCTCGGCTGGCAGAGCTGCTCTCCAAGGGGCTGAGATTTCCATAGCTCCTTCCTTTAGCTCTAAGCAAGGGTCTCCCAGCAGCCTGCATGGCTGAGCCCTCAGCCCCTGCCCCATTGTAAGAGCAGCTTCAAAAGAAGAACAGAAAGGAGGACCACGGCAGAGGCCACATCTCCCAGGGATGTCTTTGTGCCTTGATCCTAGAGGTGCCAGGCAGGACACCCCCTCTGCTCACCCCATCACCCTCCATCAGCAGCCCCAGTGGGATGGATACAAACCTTCATCCTTCTCCCTCCCCACCCCATCCACAGCCGTGATGGTGAAGGCAACATAAGGGGCAGGCGGGTGGTTTCCTCCTCCTCATGCCAGCAGCTGCTGTGTCGACAGTGAAAAGCCAGGGAGGAACCAGCCAAAAGCTCCAAAGTGTGAAGGGTTCTTTTTGCTTCTCTCTTAAATAAAACCCCATTAATAATGAGCAAAGTGTTTAATGAGAGGCTGGAAGGAGTTCTCAGCATTAAGAGGGGATTACAGCTAATCTTCATCGCTCATTCCTCCTTGCTGTGCAGTGGCAGCGCTGACCTGCTCTTGCCAGAAGGGCCCAAGGGGGATGCAGGACTGCGGCTCAGCCCATGCAGGGTCCCTGTGGGAAGGAAACCAGACATGGTTTAAACATGATCAGTTTGGAAGCAGCCTGGAATTCACGTTTAAAGATCAGGATTTCATCTTCATTAACCAGGGCTTCCCCTTAGAGAGGGGCTGCAGTTTGTGCTGATAGGAGAGAATGAGAGCAGCTTTTCATCCCGGTACACAGCCCTAAGCCAAATTGGCCAAGCAGATCCTCTGCCTGTTTGCAGTGTGCGATGGGCTCCAGCAGCCGCTGCAGCTGGGATGAAGCTGATGCCTCTTACACCACATGGGTCCCTTACAGACCAGACATGGGATGTGCCATCCGCAGCATCTCGGGATGAGGAAGGCTCGATGCAAGGCACCCTCCCTGCTCTCTTGCCTGCACTGGGGTAGGAACAGCCCCTGGGAGCATCCCACCCTCCCTGCCTGCTCCCAGGACACCAGCAGCTTCCCTGGCTGCTGCAGGCACAAAGTCGCCAGGAGTCCCATATGAGTCTAGGCTTGGGTTTGGTACCTCAAGGCCCTGCAAGATGCTGACCCCCTCCAGCCAGCTGGAAAACGGGAGTTACAGCTTCTCCACCTGCCCTCAGCCAGGCTGGCACTAAGGAAGAGCCGCAAGGGGCTCAAGGAGCCAAACGCAGTGTGGAATCTCTTGGAAGAGAGGTTGGATTTCACAAAGCCATGAGCTCACTGTGCATCGCCTGGGAGTGGGGGGGAGCATCCTCATGCCTTAAAATCTGGGTTCCAAATTATCCACTCAGCTCTGGGAGCAGGAAACTGATTATTCCAGCTTTGTATTCCCGTCAAGCCGTGCTTCATTCCCCTCTCCTGCTGCTTTTACACTGGTTCGACACCACTGATTTCAGCGTAGCTGCTCCTAACCTGCAGCACTGAAAGGAAAGGCAGGCTCAGATCTGCTGCCCTAGATCTCACTGTACGATTGCTGACTTCAGCCACCCCATCCTCTCTCAGGGGTTACTAACGGGTGTTTCTAGACCATACTCTTGACACCCCCTCACCAGCTGATTTCTCCCCAGCCTCCATTCTGAGCCCAGCTTTGCCGAGCGCTTCCCTCCTGCCCCACAGCCCCCCAGATCCCAGAGAGGTTCCTTGCTCTCCTCCAGCCCTGCGAGGCCTTCCCAACTCCCCCCTGTTTTACACCATCAGGAAACTCCGGGCACTTTTCCTGCTTTGCCTCCCTCATGGTCACAGGTTCCCAAGGGGACTCGGGCACCAAGGGCAGTGCGATGTGCATTCCCTTTCGCCAGCCTCAAGCTTCTTCCCCGGTGCTCTCTGCTGCTGGGGGTTAATGCACCTCTTTAGAAAGGGCTCCCCAACCTGAGCTGGGCAAATCATCAGTGATAGCTCCGAAAAGAAATGTACCCCCCCTCCAGGAAAGCCATCCATGCTGGGATTTCATGTACAGCAGCACTCAGGAAAGGGCAAAGTGCCAGCCTGGGGCTGCTTTGTCTCCCACCTCTCCATCATACCCTCCCTATGTCCCAGTGAATTCATCAGGCATGACTCACAGACCTTCCCTGTCACATTCCCATCTGCTGGCTGCCCCTTCCTAAAATTAGACCCCACTCTTGTTGGCATTGGTCACAGGGGGAAGGTGAGGAGCTGAGGTCCAGGGAGCTGATCCCAGCCAGGACTGGGGTTCAGCCCGAGGAGCACGCTCCATCTCCCCTGCTCAGCCTGCTCTTGGCCCTGCTGCTGCAGGAGGATGGTGAATGCTCCCACCTTCCAAGAGCCTCCCTTCATGAAGGCCACCCCTGAGAGATGAGGATGCTCTGGCTCAATACTGACTTGATCATCTCCAAAGAGGAAGGACACCTCCCCTATTAAACCCTGGAGGCCACAACTGCTTGGAGCTCCTCCTCCTGTCCCAAATCCAGGTGAATTTGGCCATGCACCTTTCAGTGAGCTCTTTGCTCACTGAAGGACTCCCTAGAATCAGCCTGGGTCTGGCCACCCAAGGGGTCACTGCTGGGTGTGGGTCTCCCCACAGAGGAGCTCCGAAGGGTCTGGGTGCTGGCTGGGGATGAGAGAAAGGAATAAGGTCATTGCTCTGCTGAGTGTGGAGCTGCATTGACCTTGCTGGGGAATTCTGTGCTCCCATTATTCCCTTTGTTCCTGGGGGAACATTCACCAGGAGTGAAGTCACTCGTTAGGAGACACCGACACCACCGGGTATTTTCAGCCACATTCCAGCGGCTGGGACTGACTGCAGATCCCACAAGTGTTACTGGAGACACGCACACGTGCGCCCTGCAGGGCAGCCTTGTGCAGGGGTTCCCAAGCACTGAAGGCATTATGATTTGATGGAAGGCAGAAGAAATGATTGCTCCTCACCCTGCTCCACCTCCTGAGCGTAGCCAGGGCCCCAGCAGCCTCGTTGTGCCTTTGGGTTTGGGGCATGGGAGTTAAATCTGACCAGAGGAGAGGGAACAGGAGCCCAACGTGCTGCACTGAGCACTGGAAGGGCTGTGCCAAGCCCATGAGGTACAACCTTCCCCTTGGGATGCTAGGAAAGGCTTTACACTGGCAGCTCCCTTGGGAAGGAGCTAGCAGCTGGAAACTAGGGCATGCTCTGGAGTGAGGAATAACCAGGAGCCTCAAGCTCTTGCTTTCATAGCCTGCCCTTTCCCCATGGCCCATAGGTGCTGTCCTGCTCACTGGGAGCGGGTCCTTGCTGGATGGTCTCAGCCCACCTGAGAGACAGCAAATCGAGCACAAAACGTGTATCAGATCTCTTCTGTCAAACAGGGAAAAGCAAAAGAAACACTTCTATTTACTCCTGCTGAATCCCAAGCCTCAAATGCTCATCAAAGCATTCCCTTCCCATGCTTGCAAGGCAGATTTTGCATTTCCTCCCAGCTGTCACTGTCAGGCTGTAATAGGAAACAGCAGAGAGAACGTGGTACGTGGTACGTGGCTGGGAAGGGGGAGATGAATGAGCTGCTCTGTGCCCTGTTCTGCTGACAGAACCCTCTCCAAGGGTCAGTTCTTTCACACATGCCTAATGCAACCCATACTCCTAGCAGAGAGCTCCTAGAACCTCACTGCTAGTTGAGACTGCCTTTCCAGATCCATATCCAGCTACAGGAAGAACCCTGAGCCAGGTCCTTTTGCCTGCCCTTGCTCCATCTCCTGCTGTGCCTGTGCCTGGGTAAAGGCTCTGCTCTCCCTCCTTGCAGACAGCCCATCAGCTCCAGTAAATGTCACAGTCAAACACCTGAAAGCCAACTCAGCCGTTGTGACTTGGGATGTTCTGGAAGATGAAGTTGTCATTGGATTTGCAATTTCCCAGCAGGTATGGTGCCTCCAGTTGCCTGGTTTCGGTCACAACCGTATTCACCCCAGGTACCCTCAGTTTCCAAGTGCTCTTGCTGCAGTTTAAGCCCATTTCCTTCGTGTCCTGTCCCTCGTGGTCTGGGTGGGGATGTGACTCCCTGTCCTCTCCGCAGCAGTGCTTCATGTGTTGGTAGCTGCAGAGAGGAATGGGCCTGATGTCCGTGGTGGACAGGGCAGGAAGCAGGGGTCTGACAGCAGCAGTGCACAGGGGAGGCCCCTCCATCACTCTCTGCTCTCCTCTCTCGGCTTCCAGAAGAAGGACGTGCGGATGCTGCGCTTCATCCAGGAGGTGAACACCACCACCCGCTCCTGTGCCCTCTGGGACCTAGAGGAGGACACCGAGTACATTGTGCATGTCCAGGCCATCAGCATCCAAGGCCAGAGCCCTGCCAGTGAGCCAGTCCTCTTCAAGACCCCCAGGGAAGCTGAGAAACTAGCCTCTAAAAATAAAGGCAAGTGTGGGTGAGTTCCTGTGTGGCCCCTGGGATGCCCAGGCAGGGCAGGGCTCTGCAGAGAGGGAAGCAGTTCCCTGTGCAGTGGGAATAAGCAGGTTCAACGCACAGGGTCCCCACGTTGATGTGTGGGATACCCCAAGAGTCTCCAGCAGACAAGGCTGACAGGGAGATGCTGCTGAAGGCTGCCTGCTCATTTCCCCCCTTTCACAGGAGGTTTAACAGGCAAAGCGAGAGGAGAAGGTTTCCAGACTCTGTCCCAGCATCCTTGCAAGTGGAGAACCCCAGGGGAAATTCCTGAGCAGCCTGTGAACCCCTATGGAACTAGACCCTTGGATGGCACTGGGCACAGCACCGCTGTGCTCACACTGAGCCTCCCATGCCTGGATTGCAGGATAGCAAGGGAAAACTTACCCAGAGATGCCCACTTGTCTTACATTTCAAATATTCAGGCCAAATGAGAGCAAGTTGAGGTTGGAAAGGACCTCTTGAGGTCACCAAACCCTCACTGTCCAGTCGGGTTTGAAACACCTCCATGGGGGAAATCAGGCACTTCCTCTGTGGCAGCTCCTTCACTTGCTCTTAATAAGGCAAAGCAGATTGATGAATCCTTCTGGCAGCAAGAATCTGTGGGACAGGAAGGGTGAGCGCCTGCCCCTGAGGACCCAGCCTGTTGCGGGGCTCTTGGTGCTCCATGGGATGCTGTCAATTCTTGACTCTTGCTGCTAAAATGATTTGGTGCCTGTAAATACCGAATTGCTGCTCATCTGAAAGCACTGAGAGGAGCATTGAGAGGAGCATTGTGAGGAGCACTGATCCTCTTTCCCGAGGCTCAGCTCTCATCTTAGTGCTTTGAAGCTGAGGAGGTGCATTAGGCCCTGCCAAAAGGCTCTGCTCATTCCTGAATCCCACTGGAAAACCACGCCAGGCTCCACGCTGCTGAGCTGCACAGGAATGTGAGGCTTCAGGGCAGGCCCTGACGGCACCAACAGACACCAGAGGCAGAGCAGAGCTGCCACAGGGCCGGATAACAAGGATTTACCCCATAGCAGCTCCTCTGTAGTAAGTGCCTGGTGATCCCGTCTCTCTGCTCCTTCCTCAGCCCATCTCCTGCACAGCTGATGCTCTGCAAGTTCAGATGAGGGAGAGGAAGGAAGGAGAGGAAGGAAAGGAAGGAAACTTGTGCTAAGGGATGACTGAGGGGTGAAGGCTCTCTCCCTGCTAGACCCTGATACACTGATGAGTTGACCTGGGCATCGGAGCCAGCCTGTGCTTGGGTTTCATGATCTCTCTTTCCCCTTGTGCAGATGAGGTGACAATGAAGGAGATGGCAAAGAAAAACCAGCAGCTGCGAGCAGGGGAAGTTCTCATCATTGTTGTGGTGTTGTTTATGTGGGCAGGTCAGTCGAATCCTTCTGTCAAAAGCATGAAGTATCCTTAGGAAACATTCCTTGGCTTGCACGTGTAATCATGTAAGACCTGAAAAGGAACCCTTCCCTCCCTCCCACCAGCAGCACTGCACATGCAGCCGTACTGAGCATCCCTCAGCATCACAAGTTGGGCAGGGCCACAAGCAGGTGAATCTGATGTAGTCCAGGGGGATGTAGATAATGGGCCTGATGAACCAACTGCCTAATTCCCCATGGCTAATCCTGTAATCTCATATCATGCACTGATGATAACACCCTCAGCCATCCAGCAGGATGCCTCCAGCGACACACTGTAATGATCTGGCTGTTATATGCCTCCAACTCTCATGCAAAAGAGAAATGTAAGAGCACCCACTGTTAGAACCCACTTCAGGAGCCATTAAAATAATGGAAGCATTGAAAGAACAAATGGCCCCAAACATCAGAACACCAATAAACCACATCCTCTCAGCAGCCACTATCACAATACAAAGAATAGGGTTTAATAGGAAGAGGAGGGATGTTACCAGAAACACATTAACCGAAAGGAAGGAGAAGTCTATGCAAGTGTGGCATGGCAGGAGGAGGAAGGAACAGCATAAATTGAAAGCTGCTATCCCAAAGGGTGGTTTGGAACCAAACTCTTGGCAATCTTTTGAAATTCCACCCTAGTCCTCCTTATCCCTCGCAGCCATTAATCCTTTAATCCAAGCAGAGCCTCTGCTACAGGATGGATGCTGCAGGATGTGATTTTATAAGCAAGATCAGCTGCAGCTGAGAGCAGCCAGCGCTGTGGAAGGAGCAGTAAAACCATCCTAGGGCTGCTCTGCTGTGGGATGCGATGGGCATAGGGAGGCACAAACCTTAACCCAGCCTCTACTGGAGCATCCTTGAACATGAAGGTCTCTCACTATGACTTTCTGTCATATGTATGAATATATAAACTTCATTTCTAAAGGGAACCCAAAGTGTTTTCCAACTGTGGGACCACATTTCAATAGAACTTACAGCAAGTGTAGAGAGGAACATCTCACTCCTATGATTTAATAGGGAGAGGGAAACGCCTCTGACTCCTGCTCCACCAGCTTAGCACGTCTGGAGAGGCTGCAGCCAGCCCTTCAGCTTGCTCAGTTTGCTGAGTTAATGCACGAGTTAATGGGAAATAAAGTTTGCACATGTCTGGTTTCTATTTTGAGCCCCAGCATCCCCTGGCCGCCAGTCAGCTGCTGCTCCTGCTGCCACCTCAAGCAGTAATGAAACAGCATTTGCTCCCTGCGAGGCACAGAACACGGTGCTCCAGAGAAAATGGGCACCTGTGAGCCAAGGAGACCGGTAGGAAGGGAAATGAGCCCTGTGGTAAATCTTTGATCCATAAAAGACAGCCTGTGCCACTCAATGCTGAACCCTCTTGTGCCAATCAATCCCCTTTTCCACCCACAGAGCGTATGAACCATCACACAGAGGGTTTTCCTCAGGCAGAAACCTGCCACAACAGCACCGAGGGGCTGACAGCTTTAGCAACTTGTATCTCCCATGGTAGCATCACGTTATGTCCTCTAAAAGGGGGGGGTCTGTCAATCTGCTGCTGTAGCCTGTCACAGGCCTGACTCGACAGGGGCTGCACCAGTTTACTCCAACAGATATGGCCCATCTGTACCAGATCCTGCTGAGGTAACTGGGGAGAGATGTGAAGAGGAAACCAGTCACTGATCAGAGACGTGTCCCACAAGAGGGGGATGGAGGAATTAACTGTATCCTGTATCCTTCTACAAGGTCTCTTACAAGCCAATCCGGGTGACACGATCAGATCCATGTATAACATTTGGTTTGCCCTGGCAAGTGCCAAGCTTACCACGAGTTATTTGCACTTGCAGAGACTGGGCAGCAATTATTGCTCAAGATGATAACTAAATGAATGCCTAAACTAAACTAAAAGGTTTCTAGAACCTCTAGTGTCTGTTCTGTTCAGCATTTATGGCGAGTTTTAGTTGTGCACATTCAGATTTAAATGCCCTGCCAGTGAAACCGATCCTCAATAAGCACATGAAGCGACTGAATAACTGATTCATCTCCCACTGTAGCATCATCTAAAACTCAGATCAATGTCAGAACAAAGCATTTGCTAATACCACAATTTCCCTTCTAAGATGACTTCCATTTAAAAAAGGAAAGTGGGTGGGTGGGGGAAACCTCTCTACAACTGGTGGGCTCTTACATGTACAAAACCCCAAAGGCTTTAACCTGAATGTATGACGATGATGTTTTAGCAAATGTAGCCAGGAACCAGGCTGTGCCCAGGGCTCTGACCTGAGACGTGGCTCTTGTGCTGTACTTCTGGCATTATTCACAGCCCTTTGCTGCTCTGTGCCTCAGTTTTGCCATCAGGAGCCACAGAAGGTGGGACTGTGGCAGATGTTAAGCTGCTCTGCCAGGACCAGCCATGTGTTCACACACGCAGAGAGAATCTGAACCACTGTGTTTACCTGGGGGCAGCTGCCACAGCACCACGTTCTAAAGCAGTTTGGGGTGATCTGCTGAAAGCTTTACAGATGTTTTGCTATCGGGGGCAGAAGCAGCATCTGCCTGGGTCTGCGCAACCTCCGCGTTTGGGATCTGCAGGCAGGGAAGTCACTCGGTCAAAATGTCACATCAAAGCTGCTAAGGAAGACATCTGCAGTCTCCTAACGTGGCATGGCTGCTCCTCTCCTCATGTGCCTCTGCGTGTGGGAGGAAATTTCCACTGGCAGCTCCTGCTGCCGTCACTGTTGCATATTTGCAGATGTTGTCCTGCTGCTCCAAGGGCCCTGGCTGCATCACAGGCAGGCAGGTACGGTACCTGCCCCTCATCCCCAGCCCTGGGGCCTTCCCTTCACCCCAGGGGAGAAGGAGCAGAGGACACACTCTCACTAACCAGAGATCCCAGGAGCTCCTGTGTTTGTAAAGGAAAAACCCCACTTAACCACACAGTTAGTGGGGATCGCATCAAAACATAGGGCTTGAAACACTTGTCCCATTTAATGACAGGGAAGTTAGAACAGAATTAATCTGTCCTTCTAACTAGTTTAGCATGGAATTAGGTCTCAGGAAGGAAACAGCCAGAGGGCTGACGAGCTGTGTTAGAAAATGATCCTTAGGAGCAGTTGTGAATGCTGCTGAGATCTCCACTGGAAGGCACAGAGCTGGCTGGCAAGCAAAGGATCTTTGCTTTCTGCAGGCTCCAGGGGCTGAGCTCATTTGTGTGATCACTAATGCTTCTTCCTGTTAGGGGTGATCGCCCTGTTTTGCAGACAGTACGATATCATCAAAGACAATGAGCCAAATAACAGCAAGGAGAAGGTGAAGAACGCCTCAGAGAACAGCACCCCCGAGCACCAGAGCGGAGGGCTCCTGCGCAGCAAGGTGAGAGGCTGCTGGCACGGGGCACAGCATCAGCTTCCTGCTTAAATGACACCAAAAAGCACCCAAACAGCCTCCCTCCAGCCGGGATGCAGAAAGGAAACACCCCTTCACATCCATGCATGTCAGCACCACGGCTTCATTAGTGGTCAGAGCCTCCCAGGACACAGCACTTCACTCCCACTCCTGGATTAGTCTGCACAGCCAGCAGGGAAAACAGATTTCAACCCATACAGCTGAAATCTCTGGGAGAAACATGCACTGAGTGATGCTGCAGTGCCTGAGCTGCTTGGGTCTGTAACCCTGCAGCAGCCATCAGGTGCCATGGGGTAAAGAGCAATAGCTCTTAGGAGCATGGCTGCTTAAAGGAATGCCACCTCCATAATGAGAGCAGACTCAAGCCTATCAACTTACTTCAATTAAACTTCCTTGTGTTTCTATCCCCAGCACTTCACATTCACCAGTTGAAATAGTCCACTCATTTATGCTCATTCAGAAGCAGACAGTGATGAACATGCAACCTTAAAACCTCCACATTGCATTTTCATCATCCTGAGGGGACGGGCACAAGAGCTTTGACAAACCCCAAGCCTGACCAGCACACTGCACTGATCTTTGACCTGGGGTTTTTCCTCCTCTTTAGTGATTGCTATTCATCCTTTCTCCCTTTTTCTCCTCTTCTAGTTTCCAAAAAACAAGCCCTCAGTGAATATCATTGAAGCATGACAGCCTGCCATCTGATAGATGGACTCCATTCCTCACTCTCACTTCCTGCCTCTGAGCCTTGATGACTAGGGAGGTGAAACATCATTGGAGCAACATGGAAAGAGACCTTAGTGATTGTCACTTGCTGGCATACACCTCCTTGTCTCTGTTCTGCAAAACATCTGGCCAGAAAGAAAAAACACAACCAAAAACCTGAAACCCCCAAATTAAGATGGAAAAGCATCAGTGAGACAACTGCTGCCAGCAATCCCACCCGGAGTCATGAATCACCTGGGCTGGACAACTCACGCACATCTCTCCACCCTCACACTCCGTCTTCTGGAAGAGGTTTCCTGTCTTTGGAAGTACAAGGGTTTGTTGTATCTTCATTTTGTCTCACTGTCACTACATCTTGACAGCATGGAGGGGAGCTCAGGCATCAGTCACTGTCACAACAAGCGAGAAAGAAGAAAAGCTCATCACAGACACAATGAGCAACCAGACTGCGGCTGCTGTGTGCTCTCGGCTTGCTTTGTTCCGTGGATGTGTGTTGTGTAGCACGTCTTGCAGGTGGGTTTTTAAACCAAACCCAGAAAAAAAGGCTGATCCCAGTTTTCATTCCCACTGCAGAGGCTTCCCTGGTGTTCTTCAGTTAAGCTGCAGCACGTCTCCACTGTTGCTGTCCTTCCTATCTAGCACTGGTGCTCTTCATCTCAGACCATCAGGACGCACCGAGCACTGGGGCACAGACCAACACGAGGGGACTCCACCAGACACCAGAAGGATAATGTCAACCATTTTCTTCATGGTATTTTCAGCTGGGCCCAAGTCCACCCCCAGTGTGAGAGAAGGTCCACAAAAATGTAGCCAGTCAGCAAAAAACAAAAGACAAACCTCCTGATACCGGTTGCTATGCAAAGGTCTCCAATGGCAACAGCCATTTACTGCTAAAGGCTCTTGCCCAAGGGACCTTTTTCTGAGGGCTTAAGTACTTAAATTGCTTCTTTTAGTAGGGTTCCTGTGGGAAGGTCTGGTTCTCCTCACACGGCCTGTCTGCCCTGTTCCTGTGACACTGCAATGCAGGGACCTGCTGGAGGCAGCCCTCCAGCAAAAGGTGGACAAGGAACGGGAAAGGGGCTGGAGTTCTCTCCTCTCTTATGAAGTGCTTGATGTTTGTAAGCTGACAGGATCCCCAGGACTGCTGGTGCTCCGGATGCTGGTAGAGGCAAGTCCATCACATGGAAAAGATTTATTCTTTGTAGTGTGCCATGGGGTATCAGTATTTAATTACTCCACAAGACCACTCCATATGCACTAGGGGATGAGGCAAGAATCTACGTGTTCCATGAGATACCAGGTTGGCCTGAGTAGGGATGGAACCTCTTACAAACCTGCACTCAGATGAGCCTGGCTTCAAAGGCCCTGCAAAGAAACAGGCTGGCAGGAAGAGTTCAGCCATCTCTCCTCTTCCATTGCCACCAGCCTTTCCAAAATGAGCCAGTTTGAGAGAAAGGCACCGGGAAGTCCGCATGCAGATGTGGTGGTGAAGAAGTGAGGGCTTCCCTGATGCCAGTTACCAAAGGCAGGCCAACCCCAAAGGTCTCTTCAGTGGATCCTTTGCCAGAACATACTCGTCCATCACCAAGAGGGAGAGGTCACCACCTCCGATACAGACAGAGCAATAAACATTTTATAATGTACAATAAAAGATTAAAGGCATCTCTTGTGTCCTTGTAACGACTGAACTAAGTCATTTCCTCTTCGCCTGCTTTGAGCACGCACACTGGAACAGGGGGACTTCCAGTGTACTGCCCAGAGACTACAGCATGAAGTGTTCTCTCAGTGTCTGGGTGTAGAAAACCAGAACCAGAGTTCACTGTTCACAGGATAAAGGGGGGGGAACTTGCTAGGTACAGCTGTAATGCTATTTATGTTGCAAGATTCTTCAGACATGTCTGTTCTCTCCGAAGGAAGAAATGCCATTTGGAATCCATACCCCTATAAAGGGAGATTTAGGACAGATGGTACAGCATGTGCAAAATGATAAAGGGAGATGCTCACTCCTTGTTTGGTAGAGAAGAATTAGATGGTGGTGCAGAGTTGGGTGCTCAAAACACAGTGTGGAAGGAGGTTAGAGGTTATCATTATGTTCCGTAACTGCAGGCTGTAAAAGGCAATAATGCTATTAGTGAGGAGAAACAAATGTAGGCTGGCAACAACTCATCAGAGAGGGATTCCAACTGCCTAAATCCAGTGATTCTCTTAAAGGAAGTGTTTTTATCAACTCTCAATTGATGCAATAAGTCCACACTTTAGCAAAAGCTGTTTCCTGTTACAGAAGAAAGCTCCTTAAGATCCTATTTCTCTGAGGGTCACAAACATCAAAGCTTTAACTGCTGCTTCAGCATCAACTTCCACCATAACCCATGAGTCAGGCACCATTAAGACTCTGGGCCTGTGTGAGCTTCAGCCTAAGCCCATCTTTGGCAGAGACACCTCATTCTTGTCAAAGGTTACCAAAAGATACTCCCAAGGTGGTTTACAGGCAATAAAGAGATCAAGGGAAAACCAAACAAGTCAGTGCTGAGCAAAGTGATGTTGAGCCACAGAAGGCAGCACCCTAAAGGCCACCCACATTTCCCCACTGATTCTGAGTGTTTGTTGGAAGTAGAAGCTGGGAAAGGGAGGTTTCAATAAGTGCTAAAAAGCAGCAGCAGGAGTGGGCTGCACAATAGGATCCCAGAGAGCAAGAACTGGTTCCCCACTGACCTCAAAAGCAAAGGAAAGCAGCCTTCCAGCCAGGCCCCTAATGCCATTCCATCCCTGGGCACTAATCCCATCGATTTCCAAGGATCAGCTGAGCAGGGACTGTGGGAACAGTAAGGAGCAAGAAGCTGCAAACAGAGCCCTTTGCCAGCATACGCAGTGCGTGTTTAAAGCTAAGCACCGCTTGCCTTCATCCTTCCAAGCACTGTAATATTATGCCTAAAAGTACCATTGAGCCAATATATTCCTCCCCCACGAGTTTAGTGAGAGGGAGCTGCAGGAGGTGGTGTGGAGCAAACAATTCTGCCCAGCATGTCCTTCCCCTTCCCAACACAGCATCAGCCCCTTCACAACCACCTCCCCCTGCACCGTTCTCCATCTCCTCCAAGGCAAATGAGAACAAGAGGCATTTTATTCTCGGACAGCTCAATAGCATCAGAGGAGGAAACACCTACACAGCTACAGAAAGTGTTAGTATAATCTCAGCTGGTAATGGCTTTCTGGAGGAGATGCAAATGGAGAGGAACAGACTGCTAATGCCAGTATTTGCCAAAGACATTAAAGGTTACATCCCTCAAAAGCATATATCACAGCTGCACATCCATTCTGCTGATAAAAATATGGCAATTCATTGATGGAGTAGCCAGACTCCACTTCTCAAGGAGATGGAGATTGTACCATATGTTGCACCAAATGTAATTTCCCCCCCATTTGCAGGAAAGCTTCCTAAAGGCACATTATAAGCTATTACTGGCTAGTCTGGAAGCAGAAGCCTTGCTGGCCAAATTTAATCAGCTTTCCAGCATTTGTTAAAAAGCTGGATCATCAACATGCTTGTTATGCTGAAATATCTTCTGTTTCCTCCATAAATCTGGTGCCTATTAAATCATCTGATGACCTGATAGATTCAAATGATTACGTTCCTCCTTGTTGGTGCTTTAGTTCACACGTCTCAAGGAGTGTGAGCTGGATTCTGTCAGCCCATGCATCAGCATCAATTTGAACTCACTTCCAAGTGAAGACTCTTTATTATTAGCAACAGAGCCAGGAAAGACACAGCTTGAATATTAGATCCCAGATGGAGTCAAAGTTGGCAGGCAGAAAAGCCAGCTTCCTGCTTCCAATCTGAACACACTCAATGCAGAGCCATTGAGTGGCAATAAGGACAAAGCCCCACGATGCCATTTGACACTTTGCAGCACACTGTTGTCCTTTTTAACTGACAAATACCCCCACACAGTGCCACCAACTGCTAACTAGAACCTATTTATACCATCCAGACCTGTTTTGCAGGGGATACAGCCAGCACATTACCAGACATCCTCTCAACCCAAAGGAATATTATCAGCTTCCACTATTTCACACTTCAGGACATAGTTTCTTCCTCCTGTTCAGAGTTCCCTCGCAGCACAAACACAAGGAAGAGTTGGCCAGCTTTGAGAGAATGGCAGGAGTATAATTTTAGTCTCATTGTTTCTAGCTGCTGTTTCAGGCTGTGATAGTGACGGATGCTGTTATATTTTTAATTGTAAGACACTTCATCCCAGAGCTCACACAGAGCTTCCACAAAACAGACTTGATATTGCTGGATTCTACTACAGCAAAGATCATAAACAGCCTCTGGCTATATTCAGGCAGAAAACGTGCAGTACATCCTTCCACAAAGGCTTAATACACAACCTCCCCCTCCCCATGCAGTATCTCATCTCCACCATTCAGCATACACAAATCACAGTTGCAATATCAAAGAATGAAATCTTCAGCAATGAGACTGCCCAAAGCCTAAAGCCTTTGCAAAGAGCTGCTCCACAACGCTGTTCATCCATGTGAGAGATTTACATTCACAAAGACCACAAAGCAGACGCTCTGGGGCAGGTACCAGCTTCTGCCCGAGGTCCTGTGGCACAAAGGAGCTGGTCTGGGCCACAGCACATGTTGACACCAGCATCTTGCTGTCCCAGTAAGGTGCTGCTGTTCAGAGTAATTGCATTTGCTCAGCATGGCTGAACTGGCAGCAGAAGGCATGCCTTAAGAGGAGGCTAATATAAACACCATCCTGAGTGCTGTGCATCTCTTAGTAATAATCTCATAAAGAGCCATGTAACAAAATCAAGACAGCCAGCATGGAAATCTCCAGATGCTTAAAGGCAACACCTCAGCATGCACAGCAAAGGCAGCAGATTGCCTGTGGCCTTCCTGCTGCTCTGCTCCTCTTCTATTCCATCACTGCTGATCAGCAGTGCCCATCGATCACTGGTTGAGACAGAGCTGTGCTGGCCCAGCAGTCTGTTGAGTTACTTCTGGGCCTTCCAAGAGCCAGTCTGTTAGTGGTTTAATATCAGATAATAAACCCTAGAGCAGGCAAGCTCATCTGCTTTGCAAGGGGAGGGAGAATAGGCTCTGCACTCAGACTCCTGCTGTCCCACCTCACCTCAAAGCGCCTGCAACAAGGAGATGTGAAGCAAACATCTTCATTCCATGTTAGGAGGAGTTGGACTTTACAGACACAGCATTGGCAGCGTGTGAAACTGCCCTTAGAACAAGGAAATGAGTCTTTTTTCAGAGGGGCCTCTTCAACTTACTGTGTGGGATTCACTGGTTTAAAAGACAACAGCCACTATGTGCTCATAACCCTCACACTTGTCAACTGATGGCACCTTCTCTTTCACTAGCAGGCTCTCTGCAAACAAAGCCTCCTGTGGTAGAAGTCACTACACCAGCATTAAGAACATGATATTAACTAGGAAAGATCAGTCATTGACAACGAAGCCCCAACAATGGGCATGCACCAACCCACAGCTTAACAACCCATCAGAAAAGAGACATTCCTTCCTGCTGGAATTGCTGTGTATGGATTACTCTGTTAATGGAGACAGCATTATTGAGGAGTTAGTGCACTCAGGCAATACCAGGCTCTGTTCCAAGCTTCACTGCTTATCCTTTGGACAAATTACTTTGATTCTCTGTGCCTCAGTCACTGCACATCCAGGACAGTGACAAACTTCACCTGCTTTTTAAAGCTACTTCCTCCTGTAAGGGCAAAGTAATAAAGCACATGAACCACAACACTGAAAACCATTAGTACTGCACCTGCATTTTATTTCTTTAAAATCACATTTGCCAAAAGTATCACCAAAAAATGACTATGATAAAAATATAGCACAATTTCCTCTATGAATAAACGTAGTTTGCTCTCTGAATTCCACCTAGTTTATAAGGCCTGTGCAGGAAGAGCAGATCACCCTGTATCTCTGTTAAATAAATCCTCCAAACAATTTGGAGTTCCTATGCTCTGTGAGGAAAGAGATGGAGGCAGCACAGAGATCACAGGTTGTTCTTGGACCACTTAGCTTAAACAACACAAGGTCACAGTGTCCTGGGCAGTTCTAGGAAGCAGGAAGTGCAAGGGGAGAGCCTCACAATAACACAGCAGGAAAGGAAGCTCCATCCAGCAGGTACAGAATAAACCAAAGGTAAAAACGTTGCAGGAGATGCTGCAAGAAGAATTACAAATGAAACAAGTAAAACCAATGAAAACAAACTTCAGGTCTGGAAAGAACAACAGAACAAGACAAGACAAAACCAAACCAGGTAAAGCAGCAGCTCTAAACTACCACAACTCTGTCAAATGAAGGGGGACAGCAGCCACAGGCTGGTTTTACAGTTTAAAACTTTCGTGTTATCCAAAGGAATCCAACTCCCTGGAGGAGATTCAATGCCAGGGTTTGGGACCAAGCTTTAAAGAAGTCTTTCCCCTCCAAAGCACGTTTTCCAGTGTGCATCACTGAAATATTACATCCTCACATGCACTGTGCAGTCCTGAACACCAACTATGTTTGTTACTTACTCTGTGAGGAGGTTGTTTTCAATTCAAAGAACACCACTGATGCCAAAATCCTACACAAACCAGATCACATTTAAATTGCATTTCAAAACAGTTCCAAATGTTTCTAACACATAGCAACTTCCATAGGCCTTATTAAAAACAGATATTAAAACAACTTATCAAGATACAAACCATTCAAACCCAGAACCATTAACAACAACTCTAAATGCAGAACAAGAACCAGCACAGTCCCTCAGCAGCAAAATCAAACGTGACAAGGCTGTGACAGGGCAACACTGGAAGTGGTCAGGAATGCTCTGGAAATAGTTGTGTTTGGCCAAGTTCTTGCTCACCCTCTGTGCAAGGCTTTGGGTAGGTTTCTTGTTGGACCCTGGGTCATTTCTGCAAAAGGTAAATAAAACAGTTAAAACACACACAACAGGAGCATAATGAGAGGCTGGGACAGCATCTTCTCTGACAAAGCCTGCCCCTTTCTCTGGGGCTTGCAGCTGGTACCTAATGTTCTTGTTAGGAGGTTTTAGATGGGAAACCACATTCTAAGCAAGTAACAACATGACAGTTTAAAGACTCTCCTTTGAACTGCCCTGTGCTTTAATACTTCCTCTGCTAAGCTCTTCCTCCCTGGCCCAGCAGAAAAAGCTGAAGGCCCAACTACACAGCAGCCTAAAGCAGCAGCAAGTTTTTCTCACCAAGTGCTATACACGTTGAACACTCATTTGCTCCATCTAAGCATGTTCTGATTTAACAGGACAAAACCCCACAAACTTTAAGCAGTTCTAGAGCAACAAGATTCAAAAGCAAATTACATTTCAAGGAGCTTGGTTATCTCCAGGCCTCAGAGTGTTACAAAGCTTTTCCACATCATTAGAAGCTGCTTTGCTCCTCCTGCATTTTGCAAAGCAACAACTCTGCTACCTCATTGCTTCGTTATTCATGCACAAGCACCAGCATCACTCAGGAAATGGCATTTCTAAACTGCAGACCCATGTGAAGGAGCACAAACTGCAAAACCACTCTCAGAACAGTTGGTTTGGAGACTGAGCATCTGGCTGGCACATCCACAACACTGAGGGCTTTATTTCTACAGCAGTTGCTCAGCAAGAGCAGCCGCTGACCAGACAGGTCTCAAGCCAGCAAAGCAACTTGTTCATGCCAACAACTGGGGAGAGATACCTGGATTACATCCCACATCTACTTACTGTGAATTCAGAAAGGCTGTGTCCTGCCTGGATCACACAGGCTGCTCCCAAGAGGCCTTTAGAGTTACATGGGTCACACAGCAACCAACCTTTACTCATGACTCAAGCACTCCAGTACACTATTGGTCTTACAGCTCTGTGTACACAAAACAAGGAACACTACCCAAAAGAGCAGCTCTGGAGGCCTCACACAGTGAACCTTTGGTAAGAGATGGTTCAGCAGAATGCAAGAATCCTTGAATTTATAGCATAAAATATTAAACAACCAGTAACTCCAACCTCACTGGTGTGTTCTGCCATCTGCTCACCCAGAACATGTACTACAGCTCAAGGAAAGGCAACTTCCCTGCAGTATTGCCCTGCTGAAGTCCACTCTCTCAGGGTGCTCTCAGTGCAGAACAGGGTGTGTGTCCTTGCCCGGTCAAAACTCAGTGATTTTTACACGTGATGAATGGAATCATGGTTCTGTGTAACGCTGCTTCCTTCCCAGGAAACAGAGTCATTTGAGCAAATCCAGCTCTCCTTCATAAACTGCAGTTCTCAGCTTTTAGTTACCCAAAGAGATAACTTCTTGTCAAAAGAAAAATAAAGAGATCCTTCTAGAAGAGATTTCAAAGCCTTCTTCAGTAAACCCATGGCTTTGGGCTCCGTTGTTCAGGAGGGAAGCACCCCACGGCAGCCAACAAAGGACAAACTCTCCCTGGTCACGCGCCAGTTCACGGTGTCTGCAATGAGCTGATGCAAGATGTGACGAGGAGAAATCACAGCTTTCCACAGATTCCCAGCCTTCCTACATGCCATCCCCCTCCTCATCTCTGAGTCACAGCTGAAGTGGGTGCACCCTTCACCCCTGCAATGGAGGGAAGAGAAGAAGTTGTGCAAACCACCACCATGACTCACAAGGACTTCACGCCAGTAAGAGGCTTGAGCTCCTCTAGGAGAAGCAAAGTCCCAGGAGCAGACTAATGCCTGTCAAATATTAGGAGAGCCTTTATCTCAGTGCCTCAGGTAACCCTCTAACCCAGAGCTGTGAGGGTAAGAATCCTTATGGCCATTACACATGAGAAAAGGAGACAATGACACCCTGGATAAACTGAACTGCCATGTAACAAACCTTAAAGCATTTTGGTTTCTTTCTCCTCAGGAACAGTGCATCCCACATCCTTCCACAGCAGCTGAGACCAAACTACAGATTTAGAAGATCTCCAAGCAAGTTCCACTCTCATTTAGAAACTGGGAGCTGTGATTATCTCAGCAAAAACACCTGCACACCAAAGCCATGGGGTTCACCACTAGAGAGGCCCCTGGACCTTCACTAGGGAGTACCTCACTCTATGAGCAGCTAAATTCCTCCCACCACTCCCCACACCAGAAGCTTCCCTGCTTTATCAGCTCCTATCCCACCCTTATCCCAAATCCCATCTAACATCCCCCTGACACTTAAAGAGTTTGTAGGTGGACTTCCCTTGCTTTGAAGTGAAATCGCCCTCCTGGCCTCAGCCATAAACGCAATTCCTCCTCTGTGTCAGTACAACTCAAGTCCTGTACCTTCCCTGCATGCTTCCCATCCCAGCAAAAGGAATTTGGGCAGGTAAAAACACTCTTTCAAGATGAATGATTCTCCTCAGCCAGCTCAGTTCCAACCAGCAGAGCTCTTTCCAGGCAGAGCCTGCTAGCAGAGTGTTCATTTGTATTTCACAGATTTCCTTCTCCATATGTTCTCTCATACTATTCTCCCTTTCCACCTCTTTAAACCTTGTGTGTTTGTGTTTTAAAAACACTGATCTTGGTTATTACAGCAAGGCCAGATGGTCTGTGACTCTTTATAAGGTATTTCCTCTTCCCCCTTTGATTCAAGAGGGATCCAAGAAGATAATTTATCAGTCTGTAAGCATCATAAACCTCCATCAACCCAACCAAGCCACGAGGAGAGCTGCTGGCAGAAACACTTGGGGAAAGCAGTGGCTGAAGGCCAGGCAGGAGCTTCCTCAGCTTCCCGGCTCCCTGGAGGTGCACTCAAGAGTGTTCCTGCTCCAAACAACAGGAGAATGCCTCGTCTGAGCAGCAGGTGGGGCAAGCACCGTCCCACAGGCACAGCTGCGGTGTCAGTGGCTTGTGAAAGCAGATCTCAAGAGATCTCCAGAGGAGGCCACGAGGATGCTCAGGGGCTGGAGCTTCCGTATGGAGCCAGGCTGAGAACATTGGGGCTGTTCAGCCTGGAGAAGAGAAGCTGCATGGAGACCTCAGAGCAGCTTCCAGTGTCTGAAGGGGGCTACAAGGACTCCGGGGAGGGACTCTTCATGAGGGACTGGAGCGACAGGACAAAGGGTGATGGGTTCAGACTGAACAGGGGAAGTTCAGGTTGGATCTAAGGAAGAAGTTCTTTACTGTGAGGGTGCTGAGGCGCTGGCACAGGGTGCCCAGAGAAGCTGTGGCTACCCCATCCCTGGCAGCATTCAAGGCCAGGTTGGACAGAGCCTTGGGTGACCTGGTCTAGTGGAAGGTGTCCCTGCCCAAGGCAGGGGTTTGGAACTGGGTAATGTTAAGGTCCATTCTAACCCAAACCATTCTGTGATTCTAAATATCGATGTTTGGGTGAAAAGCAAGAGATGGTTAAGAGAGGGAAATGTGTTTTCTGTTCAGTTTGTCCTTCCCCTGCCCGTTTAAAAATAGGCCTATCCAGCTACAAACACTGCTGAGAGCGAAGTGTGAACACACAGTGCCAGGAGACACAGTTACAAAAGCAGGAGCTTCATGAGTTCTGCAGCCTGATACAGAACCAGCCAGAATTGCTGAGGAGAATCTCATCAAGAAGGGTATAATTCCATTTACTGCTGGATAAAGGGCAATAATGAAGTGTGAAGCTAGCAAATGGTCAGCTGGCAGAAAGCTTTTGTGGTCAATTATCAGTTCCAGCCATGCATTTACAAGCAGATGCTCAAATCTCATCTCGTTTTTCCAGCTGCTCCAACGCAGCCTCAGCAGCATTTAGATTCCTATGGGAAGCTGCAAATAAATCTATTAGATTAAGTCTCATCTAAAACTAGAGAGGAAGCCCAGCCAGAACCACAGGTTATTTCCCAGCTCCCTGGATGTGGGAAGTTTACTCTCAGTACAAAAGGATTTCTTCCCACTAGTTGATGTTCAAACACTGCCCATGTGCCTGCAGCTTTTAGCACACAATCACCCAACACATATAAGCAAGCTGCATTTATAGAGAAAGGTGCCATGCAGGTAAGTGGAAAGACAAAACCTCTGTTGTAGCCAGCCTGTAATTCACCCAGACAACATACAAGCAAGGAGCAAGAGACAGGATACAGAAAGAGATTACATGGAAGAGGGGATAGCAAAGTCAAGCACTACCATAAGACAAATGCCAGGAGATTTGCAACACAAAACAGAGCTCAAGATTCATAGCAATGTATTAGTTACTGCTTCCCAAAGGGAATTCCTTTGCTCATTTTCCTTTAGAACTTCCTTGGGATCATTTTGCCTCTCTGCATCTCCCACGCAAGACACTGCTGCAGATCCAGGTGCCCAGAAGTGCCACACAGGGTCACAGTCAGCCCACTGAGGAGGTGTTCCAGTGGCAACTGGGAAAGCCTATGCTGTCTGTTGGGCTGAATTCCAAGCCTACAGCTATTTGGAATGAGAGGTTTGCACTAATAAGAAAATCAAATTGTGTGCATCACAGACAACCTTCTTCCCCAGCAAAGCAGATCCCTGCTCCACTCTGCAGCCTCCTTCATTTGGAGCTTGATTTTCTGTGACTCACAACATAAGTCTTGCATTTTTAATTTGAAAGAAAGAGAAAACAGGCCATTTGAGCTCTCCTTGCACAGTCCCCTCTGCATTACTTATGCTGTATTCATACTCTGGAAAGCAGCCCTGTGGCTATGCAGCTGCTCGTGCTGCCCAGATAAGTGCAGGCTTCGCGCACCCAGCCACAAAACTGTCAGCTCCTTCTACCTCCAAAAATGACAGTTATTGCACTCATGAACACTCAGAATAGCCACAGTGGGAGGCCAGCTCTGGACGCTACCAGAACATCCCAGTTCTACCCATCAGCTCTTACCTGCTCTTCACAAACACCTTCCTTTCACCCTCTGCAGTTGATGGCTCTTGGATGAGACTGTTGGGAGAAGTAATGTTGAAGGCTTCATCAGTAAATCCAAATCTCTGCACTTCAGCTAAAGATTCCCTGAGTTTGGGTTCATAGTTGTGAACTGACAAGAACAAGTTACCTCCCAACACAACTAGCCAGAGCTCAGCTCTGTTCTTTCAAGTAACACAGGCCTCTTTTGGGAGTATCCCTGATTTACTGCAGCAAGCCCCTTGGGTGATGTTTCCCACCTATCCCAAACTATGAAACTCATCTGAATCAGTCCTAGAACAAGACTGATGGCAGAACAGGAGCTGGAAGTGCAGCAGTCTTTTATTTCCTTTTAAAAAACAAGTACATTCAAAATGTCAAAGCCTCCAAGCTCAGCAAGCCAGGGTGTCTACCTCCATCACCAGCACAACCTTACCCATGCCATCTGGGGGTTACCTGTTGCAGGAGCTGCAGCTCTCTTCATATGGATGTGCACACTCTGGATAGAAAGGCTCAAGCTCTGCTTCCAAAGCACATATCCATTGTTTCAGGCTTTAAAAATAAAAGATGGGGGGGGTATGGACAATTTATCAAGTTAGGTTCCAGAAGACAGAGGGTAAGAAGCAGCCTGCAGAGCTTTTGCAGACATGAATTCTGATAGCTCTGTGCTGTGATTGCAAAAAAAAGGAAAGTATTTATTTGAGTAAAGCTGCAAAGATAAAACACTGAGAGCAAGGCAGGAGGGGCAGCTGAGTGCCCCAGCACACTGCTGCCTGACCAACAAAGCAGGAACCTGCAGTGAGCCCCCAGAAGCAGCAGATCCTTCAGTTACTTTAGGCCACACTGGGAACAGCAACACGGAACGTCTGAGGACAGCGACCGCAGGGAAGAACCAAAGTGACAAGTCCAGGCCCAGAAGCATCCGAGAGCAGAAGAAACCACCCCTGTGCAGTGCCCGGAGCTGCTCTACTGCTGCCACCTGCAGGAAACCACTGCAGGAGAGCAGCCAAGGAGCCAGCACAAACAGCTCCTCTTTCACCCTGCATACCACTGCCCAGGACTCAGTTACCACCCTTCTTTGCCCTGTCTTCTTCCCCCTCTCATAGCATCTTACAGGGGCAAATAGTAAGTATTCCCCCTCTCCCCCATTTCAGTCCATCTGAAGGAATAAGGAAAAGGAAACACAAACCCAGCAGCACACAACCAACCAAACTGGTTTAGGAAACCACAGGGACATTTTGCAGGCTCTTAAGAAATTACCTTTCTTCCTCCTCCTGTGACACAGGAATAACTTTGCCAGGCTTCTTCCCACTGGTTGCCTCTTCCTGCTCAATCTGGCCTCCAGCTGTACCACCTGACTAGAAAGGTAAGCAAAAAGGGGATTAACACCCAATTAAAAAATCATTCCATGTAAGTCTCGATTATACAGTTATAAAATCCCACTTGGAAAACCTTTCCTTTCTGTGTAAAAGGCACATTTGTATGCACATGGCCACCACTGCAAATATTAAACTGACATGGGACTGAAAACATTTTAGCTACAAGAATTAAGATGTGTGTTTACTTCCACGCTGATTGATGGCTGTTCAGCTTCTGTGGAATCCTCATCACCCTCTGGAAAGCTCAGTTTCCTTGAGAAACGGCTCTTGGTTGCTTTGGGAAGTTCTTGGCTCTCGAACGCAGAAGATGGTGTGGAACACATCAGCACCAGAGGCACTGAACCACCCTCGGCTGGACTATGGTTGGCAGAGGGCACGCATCTTTCCCCACCAGCACCAAAGTCAGGCACGTGGCTGCTGGTAGAAGGAGTCTTCCTCAAGCTTTGCCAGCCATTGGACATCAGCTCCTCCAAGGAAGCTTCAAGATCACAGCTATGAGCAGCTTTATCATTGCTGGCTGTTTCTAAAGCTTCTTTTTTAGCTTCCTCCAAACAGTTATCCTCCAGAAGCTCATCCACATCACCAGCATCAATTGGGCTAAGATTCAGAAGCTCCTGGATGTCAAGGTCAAAGAGTATGCGAGTTACTTGGGTTAACTGCGGGAGGTTCTCATCCAAACCAGCACTTTCATTCGGAAGACTGGGATAACCTTCAGAACTGACTGAAGAACACTCTCTGGACAGTTCATTTGGGTTCTCTGTGATCACACCTTCCCTCACAGCTGATGCCCCACTGCTCCTCCTGCTCTCATCCTTTTCACTCTCTCCATCCACATTTTGGCTCAGCACTGTCTTTCTAGTTAGGTACTGCTCAGATTCCACACAATCATCTGCCAAGATTTCCTGGATCTCTTCCTCAGTGAAACTGAAAGGAGAATTCCCTTCTTTGCTGTCTGACAGCTCCAGTAAGGCATCATCTGGCTCACTACCATCAAAACATCTGCTGGTGTCTAAAGAAATGGCCACATCATCATATTTTGATGCAGAAAAACTGGCAACAGGGTTGTTGTGGCCAGCATCATCCAGAAAACAAGGGGATCCTTGGAAGCAGGCAGGGCCTGGGGAACAGAGCAGCAGTTCCCTTGCTGGGTCTGGAGTGCTACAGTCATGACTCAGCACACAGGCTTTCTTTGCTGACTGCAGGGCCTGAACCTGCTCTGAGGAATGCAACAGCCTTTTGGCTCTGGGAGCTGTACTATCAACAGTGGGCTTAAATTCATGACAAACACCAGAGGAGGGAGGGGAATGGTCGTCCATGCTGCTGCTGGTTCCTGTGTCACAGTGACCCTGTGCCTTCTGCTTACAGCTCTGGAAGCTCATTGCCAGGTTCACGTGATGCTGGTGCCCTTTGATCAGCCTTCAGAAATCAGCAGGAGTCGGCTCCAACCTGCCAGAAAAACCAACATCTTAAAGGAAAGAACCTCAAGTGTTTTCCAAAGCAGCAGTGGTGTGAAGGGGAAAGCAAAGCCACCAGCTGAGGCACAATGTTAACTCACAACCTCCAGTACCTCGACTCCAGACCATTTTAGCTCTTAACACCACACAATAACAACCAGTCCCTTATTCCCTGGGTGTTCTCACACACAAGGTTGTTTGGCTTTCTCAAGCAGGACTAACACAAGCCCTAATCACTAACACAGTCCCTGCCATCTCCTCCAGAGCTGCTGTGAATCGGTCACTCCAATACCAGCATTCACAGGGTACTTTCTTTACCACCTTGCATTTAAAGCACAGAGCACCCTTGAGGTGTTGACCACAGCTTCAGAGGCACTCCCAGGGCCTCAACCCCCCCTCAGTGATACCAAACAAATAAAGTCTTTTTTTGGGTTAGGAAAAACTGAGCAAGCAAAGTAACTGCCAGGGAGCTCTGAGGACATTCAGCAGCTCTTAGTCACTACCACACTCATGCACAGCGTGTTTTCTAGTGAGAGATGAGATGATAAAGATGCTTCCTGTAAAATTCCATAGTTTAGAAGCATTCACAAACAAAACTTGTTTTCCTCCTGGAGAGGACTCGCACTAACATCAATCTTTTGACTTGGATGCCCTGCATTTGACTCTCTCCCAGCAGGAGAATCTGGGCTAAGAAAAGGTTATTTCCTGTCCTCTTTGACCAAGGGATTTAAAGGAAAATCCCTCTTGTTTTTCCCCTGCCTTCAAAACAAGGGGGGAATAAACCCCAGGGAGTTCTGCTGCTTCCTCCTCATTCTGCCCAACCAATAGGAATCAGCACAGTGAAGGAAGAAAATACCTCGGGAATCAGCTACACACATACAAAACCTATGCAAGAACACACAGAGCCATGAGCAGGCCTCACAGGGCTTGTCTGGAGCTCTGCAATTTAGCTCCAAGGGCTTCAAAAGACAAACAGAAGTAAATGAAACCTGGATCGGGTCCCAGAGTGCAGCAGGATCTAGCTCCAAACTGATAAGGGCCTGAAAAGAACCAAAACGCTTTAAGCCTTTTAGCTGGAACAGAAAGTACATTTGGGGATGTTTACACACTCCATTTGCAGACAGGGAACTGGTTTCTCTACTGCTGTGACCTTCCCAAGTCACCTAAACGCAGCCTACGCTGGGGCTGTACTTTCAGTGTGGCATCAGCTGATTCAGGAGCAGAGCTCTGGTAGCAGTGACTCATGAGCCCGGATAGAACCCCCTGCCATTCCCAATGAGTGCAATTCAGGGGCTGTTTGAGGGTTTTAAACGCTCAGGAACAGCTTTAAGAGCTCTGAAACTGATGCAAGACAAAGGTGCCCCTCTCACCCCACCCCTCATTCCAGCACTGGTGCTCGCACGGTCAGACCATGCTGGAGCCAGCGCATTCCCCACTGCTACGGATGTGCCCTTCTCCCAGGGCTGCCAAAGGAAGGCTCCTTGGAAAGTGACGTGTTTTATCATAGAACATTAGACTGGGTTGGGGTGGAAGGGACCTTGAAGCTCATCTGGTCCCAACCCCTGCCATGGGCAGGGACCCCTTCCACTGGAGCAGCTTGCTCCAAGCCCCTGTGTTCAACCTGGCCTTGAGCACTGCCAGGGATGGGGCAGCCACAGCTTCTCTGGGCACCCTGTGCCAGCGCCTCAGCACCCTCACAGGGAAGAGCTTCTGCCTAAGAGCTCAGCTCAGTCTCCCCTCAGGCAGGTTCAAGCCATTCCCCTTGGCCTGTCCCTACAGACCCTTGCCCAAAGCCGCTCTCCAGGTTTCCTGCAGCCCCTTCAGGTGTTTCTGTGGGTGTCTTCAATGAACACCGAGACCCAAACACACCGCTACCGAGGCTCCACCGGCTCCACCGCCCTCCGCAGCCTCGGCTCCGCTCACATCCGTTACGGGACCGCCCCTCGGTCCGCGGGCACCGCCCCGGGGCCGCCCAACCGGCGCCTCAGCCGCGGGGCCGGGACCACCCTAAGGGAGGAGCCGCTGCCGGGTGGGCGCTGGGTGTGCCCCGGAGCCGCGGCTCGGACCATAGCAGCGATGAACCCCACATAAACGAAACAAACAACACAACGGGACCGGAAAGGCCCCAGGACCGGCAGCAGAACCGGCCCCACCGCGCTCACCCTCCGCCATCTTAACGGCGCGGGCACCCCGCGCCCTTCGCGAGGCGCTGCCTGATTGGTGGAGCGCGGCCACGCCCCCTCCTCATCGGCAGCTCGGCGCTCTGGCGGCGGAAGTGACGTCCAGGCGCGGCAGGCGAGCGCCGAGCGGGGCTGATGCAACCCGGCGGAGGTTGGTGGGGCCGGGCCGGGGGCACCGGGGAGGCCGCGGGGCCTGGAGCTGGGTTCTGGGGGGGCTCCGGTAACACCGAGTCGTTCCCTGCAGCCGCCGCCGCCATGGAGCCCGCGCCCAGCCCGCAGGAGAAGTATCAGCTCATCACCCGGAACCTGCAGGTGTGTGGGGGGGGGCCGCGGCAGGATCAGGCCCCGGCGCTGGGGCCTGGGCTCGGCTCGCAGCCGGTTCCCCGGGGGAGGGGGGCTCAGTCGCGTCTCGCTGCTCCTCCATAGGAGGTGCTGGGGGAGGATAAGCTCATGGCCATCCTGAAGGAGCGAGAGCTGAAGATCTACTGGGGCACGGCCACCACGGGCAAGCCGCACGTTGCCTACTTCGTGCCCATGTCCAAGATCGCGGACTTCCTGAAGGCTGGATGTGAGGTACAGCGCCGGGATGGGGGCTTCGTCACGGTGCTGGTGGATGGGAGCTGACTGTCCTGCTCTGTTGTAGGTGACCATACTCTTTGCTGACCTCCACGCTTACCTGGACAACATGAAGGCGCCCTGGGAGCTGCTGGAGCTGCGGACTCGCTACTATGAGAACGTGATCAAAGCCGTGCTGGAGAGCATTGGGGTGCCCTTGGAGAAGCTGAAGTTCGTGCGGGGCACTGACTACCAGCTCAGCAAGTGAGTCCTGTGGGGAAGGGAGGGCTCTGAGCCTGCTCCCAAGCACTGCCATTTAGGAACAAAGTGAAGGTGCCTCCAGGCTTTGGCTCCTTGATGTAGCCAGAAGGTGTTCCCCTTCCTGGTGCTCACGGTGCTGCCCCTTCCCACAGGGAATACACGCTGGACGTGTATCGCCTCTCGTCCATGGTGACGCAGCACGACGCCAAGAAGGCAGGAGCAGAGGTGGTGAAGGAGGTGGAGCACCCATTGCTGAGTGGTTTGCTCTACCCTAGCCTGCAGGTAGGTTGTGGGGAGGCAGGTTGGCAGGGCCTCTTGGCCAGGGAGGTGCAGGGATGCATGAGGCTGAAGGCCAAGGTCCTTATATTCTATGCCAGTATTCCACCTGGCAGCAGCACGAAGCATAAGCCAAGCACAGAGCTCCTTTACAGCTGCTCTAGGCAGCTGCGGGACAGGAGGCAGCCGGGAGAGCTCCTGTCCTTTCTGGAGTGGGAATGCCTTGGCAGAGGCTGGGCAGATCCTGGGGGACAGGCAGGACTCTGAAGGCTGAGCACAGCTGGAGTGTGGGATCTTGGGCCCAGCCTCAGCGCTGTGTGTGTGTCTGCAGGCCCTGGATGAGGAATACCTCAAGGTCGATGCCCAGTTTGGAGGAGTTGATCAGAGGAAGATATTCACCTTTGCAGAGAAGGTCAGTGAATGGGGGTGTTTCTGAGCTCTCTCCCGTGCTGGTGGCTGGGGCACAGCTCAAACACTGATCCGTTGGCAGAAGCGAGCTTGTGATGTTGGTTGGCACCAAAGTGTTCTTCATAGCTCCTGTTGCTGCCCTCCTGGTCAGCAGGGCTCTGGGTTGCTGCCACACATAGAATCATGGAATGGTTTGGGTTGGAAAGGACCTTAAGATCCAGTTCCAACCCCCTGCCATGGGCAGGGACACCTCACACTAAACCAGGTCACCCAAGTCTCTGTCCAACCTGGCCTTGAACACCACCAGGGATGGAGCATTCACAACCTCCCTGGGCAACCCATTCCAGTGCCTCAGCACCCTTACAGTAAAGAACTTCTTCCTTATATCCAATCTAAACTTCCCCTGTTTCAGTTTGAACCCATTACCCCTTGTCCTGTCACTACAGTCCCTAATGAAGGGTCCATCCCCAGCATCCCTATAGCCCCCCTTCAGATACTGGAAAGCTGCTGGTTTCTGAATGCACCTGGCTGTTTCTGTTTGCACCCTGTGAGCTCGTGATAGCTTTCTGGGTCCTGTTATTCTGGGTCCCCAGTTATCCAGGGCCAGGAGCACAGAGGGGTTGTGAGTTAAAGCTCATCTTCAGAAGAGCATCACCCATGACTTGTCACTTTGCTTTTTCCCAGTACCTTCCTTCCCTGGGCTATGCCAAGCGCGTCCATTTGATGAACCCCATGGTTCCTGGTCTGACAGGCAGCAAAATGAGCTCCTCAGAAGAGGTTGGTCCCTGAGCAGTGGCTGAGGTCAAGGGTTCTACAAGGGGGACAGGTTAATGGCTGGGAGAGGAGAGGCTGCACCCCAAGGGTTCTTGAGGTCTAAGAAGCTGCAGCAACTCCAGCATGAGCTGGCTCTTTTGGGGGAGAAATTGGGTAAAGGGCTGTGGAAATCTCTTCGTATAGGACTCAAAGATTGATCTTCTGGACCGCAAGGAGGATGTAAAGAAGAAGCTGAAGAAGGCTTTCTGTGAGCCAGGGAACGTGGAGAACAACGGGGTCCTCTCCTTCATCAAGCACGTCCTCTTTCCCCTCAAGTCAGGTGAGGGGCTTGGCACTGGGTATAGCTTTTCCTGTGGGTAGGAGATGGGGATTGGAACGTGTGTCCCCTGGAGCAGGCTCCTGTGTCCCCTGGGTTTTATGTGATTTATGTGGCTGAGCAGGAAGTCTTTGCTCGAGTTAATCTGAGCCCTCACATCTGTGCATGGCAGAGTTTGTGGTTCTGCGAGACGAGAAATGGGGAGGAAACAAAACCTACACAGCCTATGAGGCCCTGGAGAAGGACTTTGCTGAGCAGGTGAGTGCCAGCGGGCACTGAACACTGTCCCTGGGGCTCCTGGGGGCTTTCTGGAGGGCTCAGAGCAGCAGTGGGAGAGGTGTGGAGCAGAGCCCAGGGGCTATAGGATGGCAGGGTGCTCCCATCCAGGAGAGCCCAAAGGTGAGAGGATGGGTGAAGGATGTGGTGTCACCGACTGTCCTAGTGCAGGACAGGACCACGGCAGCCACATCCGGGAACAGAGCAGCAGTTGGACTGTTCTCAGCTGTTCCCAGTTGAAGCTGGAAGCAAAAGGGGCTTTGGTGTCCAAGGGGGAATCAGGCCAAGGGTTGGGGTTCATCTCCTTGCCCTGCTTGCTGTCCAGTTCCCACCTCTCTGGCCTCAGTGACTCAGGTTCTGCCACTCCTCTGCCCCGGAGGAAACCCTGCAGGAACCTGTCTGTCATGATACAGGTTGTGCACCCTGGGGACCTCAAGAACTCGGTGGAAGTGGCCCTGAACAAGCTCCTTGACCCTATCAGAGAGAAATTCAACAGCCCAGAGCTGAAGAAGCTGACGAACGCAGCGTATCCCGACCCCTCCAAAGCCAGTAAGGAGGTGCTGGGAGCTTGGGAAAATGGGTCCTGGCCAGGCAGGATGGGTTGGGATGGAGCCAGGGAATTCAGGGTCCCTGCATGCTCCCCAGGGCTTTGGCAGCTCCCTGGGTTTATGCTACATGGTGTGAATGTTCCCTTTGCATTGCAGAGCCTGCAGAGAAGGGCACCAAGAACTCGGAGCCAGAGAACGTGGTCCCATCCCGGCTGGACATCCGCGTGGGCAAAGTGATCAGTGTGGAAAAGGTGTGGGTGCAACGGGGAGAGGGGAGTGACCTTCTCCTATGGGGGCACACAGGGGGTGTGCAGGATCTGTCCCTTTCCCTTCTCCTTACCCTGCTTCTGCATGGCAGCACCCGGATGCTGACAGCCTGTACGTGGAGAAGATCGACGTGGGGGAGCCTGAGCCCCGCACTGTGGTCAGTGGCCTGGTGCAGTTTGTGCCCAGGGAGCAGCTGCAGGACAGGCTGGTGGTGCTGCTTTGCAACCTCAAACCCCAGAAGATGAGGGGTGTGGAGTCGCAGGGCATGGTGCTGTGTGCCTCCAGGTGAGAGAAGGGGACAAGGGGGATGTACCCCTCCAGGGGTGCAGTCCAGACCCCACCATGGGGCTGAGGGGTAGGGGGGTGCTGCCTCAGGGTGACTCTGCTTCCCTCACACCCCTCTGCAGCCTGGGGGAGCCACGGCTGGTGGAGCCCCTGGACCCGCCGGCCGGGTGCTGTGCTGGGGAGCGTGTCTACGTGGAGGGTTATGAGGGTGGACAGCCCGATGAGGAGCTCAAGCCAAAGAAGAAGGTCTTTGAGAAGCTGCAGGTGAGATGCCACTGTCCCCGCCTCGGGGTGACCCCAAATGCTTTCACTTAATGGCTGTATCTGCTGCTGTCAGCTAAGCCGTGGAGGGGACAAACCTCCTCACTGCTGTCCCACTGGCAGCCCAAGGGTGACTTTACCCTCTGCCCCCCAGGCCGACTTCCGCGTCTCTGAGGACTGTGTGGCCCAGTGGAAGCAGAGAAACTTCCTGACCAAGCTGGGGACAGTCTCATGTAAGAGCCTCAAGGGTGGGAGCATCAGCTAACAAGTGCCAGTGCCTCCTACCTGAGTCCCACCAGCACCTCAGCCTCTTCTCCTCGTCTCTGCCATCTCCTCCCTGGTGCTCTGAGCCAGGGGCTCAGCCCTGCAGGACCTGGGGGCTCTGGGACTCAATTTGCAGCCTCTTCCCATGGAGAGCTGCCTCCAGCATCCCCCTCGCCCTGGGCCTGCTCAACTGGGGGCTGGCAGTGGCACCTAAAGGACCTATGTGACTTATTCTGTGGCTCTACGCTGGGGCCACTGGCTCACTCCCAGTACGGACTGGGTGCTCTGCTGCTGGTCCCCATGGGCACAGTGCATGGGTGCTGCAGTGAGGGCAGAAAGGGAAAGCTGCTTGCTCAAACCTGTGTTGCTGCTATTGGAGCTGGGGGCAGCTGCCCAGCATCAGGCAGGCCCCATTCCCTCCTCCATGCTTGGGGCTGTGGCCATGGCTGGTGCTGCTCCATGGCCAGGAGCCCTGGGGGGGGGGGACACAGGCCTTAAGCACTGACTTGGCAACCATCTGTCTGTTGTAAAACCCAATAAAATGTCAGTCTGACTGCACTGGGGTCTGTCTGTGCAGGGTGTAAACCCCAATAAAATGTCAGTCTGACTGCACTGGGGTCTGTCTGTGCAGGGGAAGGGGGCTGAGCTGCAGCCAGCCCTGCTCCTGGGTTCTGATGCTGCACAAGTCCTCGGTGCAGGCAGCAGGGCCAGGATTTACCCTACCAGGGCTCTGTGCCTACCCCAGAGCTCGATGCCAGTGGCAAGGGCAGTGCTGCGTGGTGAGGCCGTGGCCATAAGGCAGGAAGCACAGGAGGCAGGAAGCTTCGCTCATCAGTTTTACCAGCCAGGTACAGAGCTCTGAGCAGCCGCTCGGCAGCGGGTTGGTTGCGTTTGGTTTGCTTGGGTTGGGTTTGGGTTGGTTTGGTTTGGTTTGGTTTGGTTGGTGGTTTTTTACAATCAAAGAAATCAAAACATGACCCGAGCTTACAGAAACAGAAAGCGAGGCTTTACCCTGGGGCCCCAAGGGGCTCCCCCTCCACCCTGCAGCCAGTGATCAGTGCTGGCCAAGAGCTCCTCTTGCCTTTCCATCAGGGCCCTGGTCCCTCCCAACCAGTGCCTCCATCCCATCCTGCTGCTCCTGCCCGTGTCCCTCAGGCACTGCCGTGGCCAAAGCCTTCCCATTCCCTTGTCCAAAGTGCTTCAGTTCCTCGCTGGCCGGGAGCAGAGCGGCTCCAGCATCTTCGGCCCCTGTGCTCCTGTCTCTGCTCCAAGCGGCAGTGGCAGGGAGGAGGTGCTGGCTCCGGGCACGGGCCTCGAGTCCAGTAAAAAACGAAAGCAAAGTAAAGCTGTAGTACTTAGGAAAGTGAAACCAACACCATTTTTGCATAAATATCATCAAGGCCGTGGAGGCTAAGGCTGTTTGCTTCCTGTATTAAGTTAGGTGACAGTTCCACACTCATCCATTGACCTGCCCAGGTCCCTGAGAGATTTGGATTCCTGTCCACGGGGGCACCAGTCCTGCGGCTCCGTCCTTCAGGCTGTCTCTCCCCGTCCATCTGCAAGGCAGGAGGGAAGAGCCCATCAGCCTCCCTGCCCCAAGCCTGGCCCCGTGCTTCCCAGTGCCTCCCCAGCGCAGCCCAGGCTCAGCATCCTGAGCGCAACAGCAGCATCACCCCATTGTGGGGCTGAACTGGGCCCACGTACCTTGTGTGGGGAGGTGCTGAGCCGGTGGCTCCGTGCTGCTCCTGCCCTCCGTCCCCATCGGCTCACTCTTAGTCCTGCTCTCATCCGCCGGCACCCCCTTGGCCTTCCCATCCGGCACAGGGCATCCCAGTGCCTCTGCCCCCAGCGCCTTTGGGCTCAGCGGGGAAGGAGCCGGCCCTGGACCCAGTGAAGGTTTCTTGGCTACCGGAGGGGGGATCTTGCCAGGTTTTCGGTGGGCTTGAGCCTTGCCGGGGCCCTGCGGAGCTGCAGCCGAGCGCTGCCCCGACAAATTCATCAGCTCGGCCACCAAGTTCCTCTTGAGGTCAGCCTGCGCCTCGGGGGACGAGGCCGTCTCCAGCACCAGCTTCTTGGAGCTCTTGGCGAAGATGAAGCTGGCGGTGGAGGCTGGCGACTTGTGCCTGGGGGAGAGCTGCCCATCACCGGTGGGGCCCTCGGGTCCCTGCGGCGCCGCTCGGCTGCTCACCGGCTTCTCCGCAGCCTCCCCGGCGGCCAAAGCAGCGGCCTTGAGGTGCACGGCGTGATGGAGCTGGCTCGAAGGCACCGCGGCTGCGGCAGGAGGGGGCTGCCGCGTGGACAGAGCCCGGCGGACGGGCTTCTGCAGTGCCGGGCGCTCCTCGGTGCCGGTGGCGGTGCCGGTGGCTGGCTCCACGCTCACGGAGCGCAGCCGCACCATCTGCAGCAGCGAGGGTGTGACGATGGGCAGGCTGGCGTCCTCCTTGGCCACGGGGCTGCTCTTGCTCCGCAGCACCGGCTCCTTCTTGGTGTCTGCCCGCAGGCCGTTGGCCACCTTCTTCAGGGGCAGCGGAGCTGGAGCTGAGGGCACTGGGAGAGGTGGTGGCGGTGGTGGCACCGTGGCCTCAGGAGGGGACAGAGCAGGGGCAGGCGGCTGCGATGCTGCGGCCATGGGGGTTTGCTGCTGGCTGCGTGAGGATGCGGTGGAGGAGGAGGAGGAGGAGGAGGAGGAAGCAGCCTCCGTGCTCGGTGCCGCTTTCTGCCCCGACACCACAGCGGTCGCCGCATCGGGGGGGCTGCAGAAACAGGCTTCATCCGGAGGGGGGAAGTCTGCCATGGACAGGTCGTGCTCCTCGGGAGCCGGCGGCGGTGGCGGGGGCCAGGCAGTGTCAGTGGGGGCCTCGCTGGTGGCCGCGGGGGGCTCCTCTGCCTTCTTTGCCGGCGGTGGAGGCGGGTGGTAGGCAGGAGGTGGTGATGGCGGTGGAGACTTGGTGCTGGGCTTGGCTGAGGGCTCCGGGTGGGCAGCGCTGGGCACTGGTGGGTCCGGGGAGGGCAACTGGGAGGCAGCACCAGCCATGGGCTGCTGGGGCTTGGTGGGTGGTGGCGAGAAGGGAGCGGGCACCTTGGGGTGAGGCGGGATGATGAACCGGTCCGAGCGGCACGGCAGCGTGTCCGGGGGAGCCGGGTCTGAGGCTGAGGAGGAGATGGAGGTGAGGGATGAGGACACGGAGAGCGCAGGTGACTGCAGGGAGCACACCCGGTCTGGTTTCTGTGGCTGAGCCCTGCCCGGGGACACAGACGGGGGTCCCAGCCCCTTGGTGGGCAGCGTGGGGGTCCCGCTCTGGCTGGAGTAGCCGCTGGAGGGGGACATGGTGCGGTCAGAGCCATCGGGGCAGCTCCACTTGGGCTGAGCCTGCGGCTCCCTCAGCACCACCGTCACCCCGGGGCTGCCCCGCGACGCCTCGGGGGAGCTGGCTCCAGCCAGGCTCTCGGAGCGGAGGCTGCTGGTCTCACTCAGCGACGATGGGGAGAAGACCTCATCCTCGGCTGCAGGGCTGAAGGGCTCGGGGCGCGGGGACCAGGGCGCGCTGCTCTCCCGCTGCGACCTCCGGTCAGGCTTGGGGGGCAACCCCAGCACCTTGGGCTCCCCATCGGCTGCCTGGTGCAGTGAATAGGTCCTGCGAGGTGGGGCTGGGGGCTTCTTCATCTTCCTGAGGGACACACTGCGTGCGGAGGAGCGCTCGCTGGCCAGGCTGCCCGTGTCCGAGCCCTCCGCCTGGCTGCTTGTGCTATAGGCAGGGGATGCCCGGCCACTGCTCCCCGCCACCACCAAGAGCCGGGGGGCTGCGGGCACGGGGCCGGTGTTGGGCTTGGAGCAGGAGCTGGTGAAGCTGGCGGAGCTGTAGATGCTGACTTGGTCGGTGTCGGAGCGAGCGGCAGCATCCCCCTGGCTGCGCGGCCCTGGCTCGGGCTGCCGGTGCTCGGAGCCCCCCTGGGAGGAGATGGTGGAGCTGTTGGACACAATGGTCTCGGTGGACTGCGAGTGGCTCCAGTTGTCACTGGAGGAAGAGTGCTCGCGGCTGCGGGCGCTGCGCTCCGAGAAGCGGGCGAGGGAGCGCACCGAGGCCGGGCTGGAGGACACCAGGCTGCAGCGGCTCAGCGTCCTCACGCTGCTGCGCGTCAGGGCCACCACGTCCACCATGGGCGGCAGGATGGCGTTGGGGATGATCTTGGACATGTAGGTGCCTTGGGGGGAGATGGACATGACAGGGCTCAGCAGCTCCGGGGGGCTGGTGTTGGTGGTCATGCCCGGCACGGCCAGAGACTTCGGCCTCACCATCGGTGACAGCTTGGCCGCCGTCTTCCTCCCCAGCAACGTGTCGTCGTAGTAAACCCGGTTGATGTGCTTCTGCAGCGCCGCGTCTGCCTCCTCCAAGGCTCCCAGGCAGACGCGGGCTCCCCCGGGAACGGGCTCCAGCTTCCCGTCAATGGTGGGGATGCGGACGGCGTCGCCGGAGATCTGCCCCCCGTTCAGCAGGGGCTGTGCTGCTCGGCTGCCCCCGTGCCCATCAGCCTCGGTGCACCCCTTGGCTTCCCGGCTGTTCCTGAGACCTGGGAGCAGGGAGAAACGAACCCAGTGTGATCCCAAGGCAAACAGAGCCTGGGCAATGAGACCAGACCCTAAAATCCCCTCTTACCCTTGATACGTACCCAGCTCCTTCTGGACATGCTGGGGGATGCCCAGCACCGTCGTCCTCCTCTCCTTCCTCTTCTTGCCAGCCCTCTCCGAGGATTTGGGAAAGGAATCATGCGGGCGGAAGGTGGAACCTGTGAGAGGCATGAACGGGTCCAGCCGGCACGAGGGCATTCCCAGTGTCCCCAGCACCCCTCCATTGCCAGAGATGCTCCAGGACAAGCCGAGCCCAAGCACTCAGAGAGGCACCAGCAGCTGCCAAGCAGGCACACAGAGGAGCCGCAGCAAAGAGGAGGCAGTGTCTGTGTCTGTGTCTGTCCCCTTCACCCATCCCCAACGCTCTGACTCAGCCCCAGTTATTCACCTCTCTCCAAGGGCCCCCAGACCCCGCTCTGGCTCACAACCAATGCCAAATCAGAGCCCTGATTTCCAGCCATGCACCCAAACCCCATCGCACCCTCTTGGTTTGTGCCCCCCCCCACCCGGGTACCTTTCCTCTGGATCATCTCGGAGCGGATGGAGAGGGCATCCTCGGAGGTGCTGTCCATGGCACTGGAGGCCGCCCGGCTCCGGAAGGACGCGCTGTCATCCTCCGAGGATGCGCAGGACTGCGGGCAGGGAGCGGGCTGAGGCAGCGGGGACGGAGCTGCCCCGACCCCCGCCAGGCCCCTTCTCTGCCTCACACGGACTCCGCAGCCCAGACAAAAGCTTCTCCGAGGGCCAAGGGCTGAGTCAGCCGCGCCGGCATCCAGAGTCCTCCCACCAGCAGCGGGGCCGGGACCGGCCCCAGGGACCCCACACGGCCCCGCAGCCCCATGGAGAGCTGGGAACCCCGCAGCCACGCAGAGCTGACAACAGCCCCATGGCACCCCGGAGCTGGGGGGCTGCGATGTGGAGGGGCAGGGACAGAGCCTTCCGTGTCCCCCCATCCTTCCAAAGCACGGGCGGAGGTTGGGGTGGGACACATCAGTGTGAGTCACCACCCAGCCCCTCCGCCCTGAGCTCTCCAAGGGCTCTGCCTGCCCCGGAGCTCCCCATTCCCAGCTTCCAAGGGGTTAATGGGGCTGAGGGCCAGCGGGTTTGAGCAAACAGGGGCAGGGAGGTGCTGGCAGCGGGGTCAGAGCCCCGGGGAAGCAGCAAAGTAAAGCCCAGCGTAGCCAAGAGAGGGGGAGCTTCTCCTCGTCAGCAGCCAGGGAGGGGCCCAGCCACCGGGATGGGGATGGATAACGGTTCCCATTGCACTGCCCCATCACCCCAGCTTCCTCAGGGCTGCCAGCAGCACCAGTGGGGTGTGAGGGGGGACAGAGGGGCACAGCCCCAGAAGGCAGGGCAGGACATGTGAAGGTTGAGGACAGGGATGGTGACAGTGGTTTGGGATAACATGAAGGGTCACATGGCCCCTTTGTGCTGTGGAACCCCCCCCCCGGCCATGGTCCTGCAGATGGGGTTGGTTCCCCATCTGCCCCCAAACACACCCATGGGGGGCAGAGGAGCCACCCTCACCCCCAGGGCAGTGCAGAGCGCTGTGGGGCAGAGCCGGCTCCTCATCAGGGCTCACCTGGAGGCTGTTGGTGTCCCCGTGGTCCCAGGCACTTTTGGTTTGCTTCTGCTTCTCTGCGGAGGGAAGGCAGGGGCTGAATCCCTGCGGGAGAGCCCCGGGAGCCACCAGCCAGGGACAGGGCTCCCGGCTCCGTCAGCGCTGCCCCAGCACCGGCTCCAGCCCCAGCACTGGACTCTGGTCAGCCCCATCGCACCGCCCATGCTGTGTCCTTCACCCTGTGCCACCCCCAGCGCTATCCATTAGGGTGGCTTTAAGGAAGGAATTCTCCCCTGTGAGGGTGCTGAGGCGCTGGCACAGGGTGCCCAGAGAAGCTGTGGCTGCCCCATCCCTGGCAGTGCTCAAGGCCAGGTTGGACACAGGGGCTTGGAGCAAGCTGCTCCAGTGGAAGGGGTCCCTGCCTGCAGCAGGGGTTGGGGCTGGATGAGCTTTAGGATCCCTTCAACCCAACCCAAGCTGCGGTTCTATGGCACCTACCCTGGTGCTGCAGGGACTTCAGCCCCTCCTGGGCCTGGTTGTGCAGCTCCTCGAGGTGCGGGGGCCGCGTGGTGGGGAAGAAGACGTTGTCGGGACATCCCTCTCCCGCTGTGTACTGCACACTGAGCCGCTTCTCCGCCTCGCCCTTGGCAGCGCCTGCAGACACAGAGGGGTCAGCGTGGCTGCGGAGGCACAGGCAGCGCACCCCAAGCACGGATGCAGCCTCATCGCACTGGGGGATGGCAGCCAGCCCAGGGGGATGTTATCCTGCTCAGATCCCAAACGCCGTGTGGGAAATCACCTCCCAAGGCTCTGCCTGTCCAATGTGCTGGAGCCGGGCTGGCTCCACAGGGATTTCTCCCCACTGGCTGGAGCAGGGCTGGGGCACGGCAGCATCCTCCTCCCCAGCACCTTTGTGGCAGTGAGTTTAGGGGGTGATGTGGGCAGCTGAGCAGAGAATGGGCAGCGCAGGGGGATGAAATAAGGATGGATGTACAGTGGCCTTCCCTTTGGGGGGTTACATCATCCCTGGGCTCTGTAAGACACAACAGCAGACTCACCCTGTGCCCAGGCAGCCTCTGCACAGAGCAGGGAAACTGAGACCCCAGAGGACCCAACTCCTCCCTCTGAGCACCCCCGGGTGCTGAGGCTCCCATTTGCCACACCAGGGCTGGCCCAGGGCTACCCATGCCTCATCTTGTAGCCTCCTTCCTGCAAACCAGCACCCACAACAGGCTCCGGGTGCTTGCTGAGGGCTGCCCCTGGCATTGCCCAGCCCTGCCTGCTGCGAAGCCTCCACCTTCCTGCCTGGAAAGGCCACGATTTCAGGCTGAGGAAGGGGCAGGACGAGCACAGGGAAGCACTGGGGCTGGCGGCAGCACCCCGGGGACGCAGGCACCTGCTGCTCAGCATCCCCGGCACCATGCACCCATCCCTTGTGTCCCCGTGGCCCTCATCCCCTCCCGGCCAGGCTCTAAAGGTGGCTGCGCTCTGGCACACAAAGGAGCAGGCCCTGAACAATGGAGCCGGCGCTCTCCGTGCCGCGCCATGCCGGCCTCTGCTTCCCCAGCATCCCGGCATGGCGAGTGGACAAGGCACGGCCAGGCTGGGAGCGCGGTGGTGGCACAGGGCACCCCTGTGCTGGTGCTGGGTCCTTAGGGGACACAAGATACGCACACACACACACACCCATCACGTTCCTCTTCCCCTCTGCCCTTTTCTCTCCCAGTTTCAGCAGCCCCTCGCCCAACATCTTTCCCCCTCCCCGCACACTCGGAGCCGCCTTCCGGCGAGTGGAGCGCAGTGATTTACTCCATTAACTTTGCCAGGGGATGATGCTGGGGCTAGGGTGACCTTCCCTGCTCATCCCCCTGGGATGGGAGCCCGAATCCATGCCCGTTGCGATGCCAGGACCAGGGGGTCCTGGAGGCCGGGGGTTGTGTAAGGACAAGGCGCTTCTCCCTCCCTCCCTCCCTCCCTCCCGCTCACTCACCCTTCTTCTTGAAGAAAGCCAGAAGCGAGGGGAGGTTCCTGCCCATGAAAACCACCATGGTGGGCCGGGGAGGAGGGCTGGGGCTCTGCCTATTGTGCCGGGGCGGCTCTGGCCCTGCCGTGTGTGAGCGAGGCGGATGCCAGCGGCTCCACGCTCCAGCTCCCCGGCCTCATCCGCACGGCAGGAGGATGCTCAGCGGGCAAAGAGGCTCCGGCGCAGCCGCCTGGGGAGGGGACAACCCCGGCTGCGCCCACCCTGCTCCGGGAGGAGAGCGGGGCTCCTCCTCTGGCCTCCCCGTCACCCCCAGGCTCCCGCCCCCTCCCCTGCACGGCGCAGCCCACAGCCATCGGTTCCACGGGCTCAGGGCCAGCGTTTCCCCAACTCCCCCCCTCTTTTCCCCTCCTCACTTGCCCCCCACCGGGCACAGCATCCCTGCAAACCTGCTTCCACAACAGTGCAGCCAAGCGGGAGGAGCTGGGAGGCTTCCCCCTCCGGTGAGCACCGGCCCTTGGGGTATGGCACAGCAGAGCCAGTGGTGCTGGCGTTCCCCTGGCATTGCTGCTCCTCATTCATCCCCAGTGCATCCCGGGACCTGGAACCCACAGCAGCCCCCCAGCCCTGACAGGAGGAGCCCCGACCCCAGCACTGCTCAGCCCATGGCAGGGGGACACGAGCTATCACGGGGCATCGGTCCTTAGGGACAGGGCAACCAGCACGGCTCTGTCATGGTCACAAGAGCTGGCAGCACGGTGGGAGAACAAGGTCCCTTAGACCAGTCTAACCAGTAGGCACAGAGCACATGAAGGCAGGGGCAGAAGTGCCAGTGGCCAGGCGCTGGCATGGCCCGTGGCACTGAGGAGGTGCTGTGTGCTCCTGGGGTGGCTGCAGGCAGGCTCCCTGCAGCACCAATGCCCCAGCAGAAGGGGATCTGCCCTGTCCATCAGCCCCAGGTCCCTCAGGGAGCTCCATCCCTCCCATCTACAGGCATTTGGCCCCAGGTGAAGAGCTCCCAGCATTGACCCAGCAGCAGGGAGGTCCTGGTGCCAGCCATGCCAACCTGTCAAACCCTCCTCCTCCTGCCCACCAGCTCCCCATGGGCTGTGCCCAGGGTTTACTGCAGCAAGACAGAGGTTGGGCTGCATTCAGAGCAGCATCACCCAAAGCAGAGCACGAAGGTCCCACCAGACCCCAAGCATTGAATGCTCAACCCAAGGGACAGTTTAACCTCGCCAAGGGCATCTCTGTGTCCTTGACTGGGCAGATCCAGGCTTAGCAAGGATTTCTGCATCTCCTTCATGCCCCTGACAGCAAACACAAGCAGTGCCCTGCTATGGATAACCCAGTACTGGGGCAGGATGGGCTCACCCAGAAGGTGCCGGCAGCCACAGGCAGCCGCTTCCCAGCCCTTTGCACAGCACAAGTGGAAAAGGGACATAATGAAAGGGCTGAGGATGCACAAAGCGGGCAGCCACGTGCTGCCCTATCCTCTCTGGGCTGCCCGTCATGAGCCCTGTGGGGGCCTCAGGCAAACACAGCCAAGAGCCACCACACACCACTCCCATCTCCAGCCCTCCGGGATCCACCTCTGCATGGATGGAGCTGAACCTGGGATCTCCCTACAGAGCCTCCCATGGGTGAAGGGGGACAGTCCTTGCTGTGCTGCTGGTCCAGGATCCAGGTCTGCTGATGGGTGCTGCTGTAAGGACATTCCCAGTGCCAACAGACAGCCCCTGTTCGTCCTCCCTGTATGGGCCCCATCACCTGCAAGGACCCAAAGGGCCTCAGGAGCATCCCTTGCTGACACAGACGCGTCCCTCTCCTGAGTGTGACACCTCTGTGGCTTGGGGCAGGAGGAGCTCGGCATCGTTCTGCAATCCCCAAAGGATAATCCGGGCAGGGCACCACGGCCACCACCCAACCGAGGCCGGAGCAGAGCCTGGCCATGGAGGAGCATCATGACAAGGGCTGGAGCATGGTGGTACAGAAGAGCAATCCGCTTCCCCTCCACTCCTCAACCTTCACTATCGCATCCTCCTTGCCTCATGTGTCAACAGAGAAACCTGCTGCAAAGGGGATGGGGAAAGGGGGGAAAAGCCAGGAGGGAGAGAGGCTCGATCCTGTAGCACAGGCTGAGGATTCTGGTGGGCTGAGGAAGCCACTGGTGCTGGTAGCAACATGCCTGGTTGGAGCTGGAGCCCCGTCCCTTGTGCATTCCTTGTGCCATGCCCTGCATCGCCCTGTCCCCTCCAGGCTCAGCAGCCCTGATCTGACACACGTGTCTCATACCCACATGGCAGCAGGATCCTCCTGGAGAAGCAGCTGGAGGCCCCTCAGGGCCGGGCACCCTCTCAAGGATGCTCTCCCTGACTCAGAGCTGGTATCTGCTGCTATCGGTGCCAGCAATGGTCCAGAGGGAGCAAAGCATCCCCACCACAAGGCAAACTGATAGCAAGGAGCAGGGAATACTGGGAACCCACCACACTAGGGTGGGAATGGGAAGGGCTGCCCAAGGGGAGGACCAGAGCTGAGACCCCAAAGGAACAGGACTGGGGCCGTACAGCCCTGGGCCAGTGATGCTGCAAGTGCTCCCTCCTGGACCTGGCTTAGTCCCGATGCTGCTCTTCACTTGGGCAGAGCTGGAGGAGACGATCCTGGCTCCTGTCCCCCTCCCCGCCAGGCCTGCGCCTCCTGCAAGCAGCAGGTTTGGCCAGACCCAGCTGCAAGCACCCACCTCTGCCTGCACGGCACTGCCTCGACTTGTCCGCTCCCCGCACAGCGCGGGTCCTGCGGCAGGAGGCAGGGAACAGGCAGCAGCTCCCGGCCTGCCCCTTCCACCACTGACTCACCGGGGAGGAATGGGGAGGAGTGGGAGCAGGCAGCGGGGGGGGGTGGGAAAGGGGCTGTGAGGTCCCCAGGGGAGGAAGGGGGGCACCCTGCCTGCTGTGCCCTGCTTGGTGGGATGCAGACCTTGCCTCCCTCCTGCCGTGCTGCAGAGAGCAGTGGGAAGGCAGCAAGAGCACCCCCTGCCCCATGGGGTTGATGCTCTCCCACCACTCTGGGGCTCCTTTCCACCATGCTGATCCCAGGCGTGCACCCAGGCTTGGGGACTGCTCTGCTCCCCATCCTGAAAGGGAGCAAAGCGGTGGTTGCCTGCACATGCCAGAGGTAACACTAATGGGGTGCACCATGAACTCCAGCCCCAGGAGACAGCAATCAGCATGGGGGCCCTGCCACAGCTCCAAGAGCCCCTGTGCTGTGTGCCAGCATCCAGCCCCCCTATTCCAATATTCAGCCCTTCTGCTCCAGCATCAACCCCTCTTCCCTTCCAAACCAGCCTCTCCCCTTGCAGCCAGTTCCCTTGCTGGTGGGATGGTGCAGGCAGCCCTGCTGGGATATCTCCCTGGAATATCAGGAGCGATGACAGCTCTTTACGAGCCCAAGCGTGCCCATCCTTCCCTGGACCCATCAACTGTGCTCAGGCAGCTCCATGATCCCAGGTGGGACCTGGCACCCGCTTGGGCTACCCTGCCCTGCTCTGTGCCCCTGCGTTCAGCTGCTGAGGGGCTGTGACAACCACCCTGGCCACCCTTGTTCCCTCTGCATAGGATCCGTGCCCTGGGACACTCTCTGCAGGCAGGGTAAGAGCACATTAATGTTTATCATGGCTGTGGCCACGCAGCCCCCACTGTGAACCCAGGGGCTGCTCCTTGCCTTTGGCCTCGCATGGGGGCTGCTGCTTCAGCCAGGGAAACAGCTCCACAAAGCAAATAAACCCAACCCGGTGCATGCGGCTGGCTCGATGCTCCAACCCGACCCCATGCAGAGGCTGAACTCAAACTCATTTCAAATAGGAAAACAAACTTGGGGCAGTTTTCTTCCTCTAAGTGCCGGTGCAGAAAGCATCACCCCGGTGAGCCAGCGGGCCATGGCAAAGGATGAAGGCTCAGAGGAGAACCGTCAACCATCGCCCAGCCACGGCTGCTGTCCTGGCAGGATCACACCACTTGTGCAACTCGGCCCTGACCTCGCTGCTGCCCTGCACATGCCCCACAGGCAGCGCATGCAGTGACATGCAATGTCTCCTGCTCCATGTGTCAGCATGGAGCCGGGGCGAGGGTCTGGCAGCAGCCCATGGCGGGGTCCCAGCCCGGGGCAGGGAGGCAGGACCACCGCGACGCCGGATTGTGCCTCATCCCAGCCCCTGTCCCAGCCCAGCGGAGCCTCTGTCCAAGTCCAACCACATCCCCACCCCACGCTCGTCCCCTCCCCGGAGAAGCCACCAAACAGGTTTGAAGGTAAATAACAGCCTTCCCCGGCCAGGAGCCGGATCCAGGCGGGATGGGCCCAGGTGGGGAGCGCAGGGTGGGAGAGGGCAGTGGGCAGAGCCTCGGAAGCAACACAGGGCCAGGATGGCAGCGCAGGGATGGGGACAGACCACTGGCACCTCCTCCTTCCAAAGTCCACAGCTTTATCACAGCTTCCCCTTCCCTTCATGTCCTCTCCTCCACCTCCCATGCAGGCGGCTCCCTGCCGCATCCCCACGGCGCGTGCCGTCATGCCTGGCGTGTTTGCCGGTACCCGGGTGCTCTGTAAGCGTGCCTGTCGCAGCAGGTACTTGGCTCCACGCAGGAGCACATCCAGGAGATGGATTAGGGACAAGACCTTGCAGGTTTTTCCATGCAGGGATCCACCATCCTGCGAGCAGCTCCCAACCCCACTCCTGCCTACAGGTATCTGGCTCAGCAGCGCTGGTAGGAAGCAGCGAGGTGCTGCCTGTCTTCCAGCAGGGATTGAGGTGGACACGGTGATGCGGGATCAGGGGAGGAGATGGGGAAGGAGCTGCCATATGGGGCTGGACCTGCCACCAAACTGGTGGTGGGGGATAACCAGCAACACAACAGCAGGTCCCATCCCTGCCTCTTGGTGACGGGGCGCCTGCCAAGTGGGCACGGCATGGCATGGCATGTCAGAGCTGAGCGCTGGAGGCAGCTTCCTGCCTGGGACATCCATGGATCATGGAATCAGAGTGCTCTGGGTTGAAGGGATCTTAAAGCTCATCCAGTTCCAACCCCTGCCACGGGCAGGGACCCCTTCCACTGGAGCAGCTTGCTCCAAGCCCCTGTGTCCAACCTGGCCTTGAGCACTGCCAGGGATGGGGCAGCCACAGCTTCTCTGGGCACCCTGTGCCAGCGCCTCAGCACCCTCACAGGGAAGAGCTTCTGCCTTTATCCAATCTAAACTTCCCCTGTTTCAGTCTGAACCCATCACCCCTTGTCCTATTGCTACAGTCCCTGATGAAGAGCCCCTCTCCAGCATCCTCACCTCCTCCCGTGCTCCAGGACCGGGAAGGGGCACCGGGAAGGGCTTGGCCGCCGGCGTGCTGGAGACCCGCCTGTGTAAATCCATGCTCATCCCATGCCGGGCGGGCCCCTGCCCTTATCTGCTCCGGGGCTGTTTACGGAGCCAGCCCAGCGTGGGTCTGGCACAAAGAGCGGCCGCGAAGCTGGAAGACGCCCAGAGATGCTCAGCCCACCCTGGAGCTGCTGCTGGGAGCCTCATGGCCATGGGTCACCCCTTGACCCGCACTATGTGTGCCTGCAGCCTGCGCCGGCACCCATCCATCGGGACATGGCGGCAGCAGCCACATCCCCATGGACTCGGCTGGTTGGGTGCCACGTTCTTTCACCCTGACTCAGCCGGGCCCGGCGGGGCCATCCCGATAAGGAGGTGATAAGAGGCTTTGCTCTCCCTGGTGCTCAAGGACCTTCCCCAGCAGCTCCTGCTGTGGATGATCCCAGGGAAGGAGAAGCAGGGGATGCACCCCAGAGCAAGCACAGGGATGTGGGTTTGGCACTGATGAAGCACAGTGGGGACACCGGGGCAGGGTGCAGGTTGCAGGCAGCTGCCTGCAGCAGGTAGAGCCACCCCGGCAGCCCTCAGCCATGCTCTTGCCTGGCCAACCCTGTCCCTGGGACCGTTGCTGTGGTCCTTCAGCATCCAAAGATGCCCAACACCACCTTGCATATGGTGGAGGAACAAAGGCAGCTGCTGGTGCCTGCCCAGGCCTGACCTGCCAGCAATGGGCATGATGGGACCAAACTGGTGCTCCCAAAGCAACCAGGGATGCAGAGGTGAGAACTGGGGGATGCTGGCCCAGTTGCCCACCCATTGCAGTTAGCTTCTGACCCAAACTCCAGCAGCACCCATGGGCTGCGGGCAGGGCAGGGGCGAGATGAGAGCGACAGCAGGGTCCCGTGGTTGGGTGCTGGGCACCCTGCCCCCAGCCGGTGATCCCGCTGCGCCCTCCGAAATGCTGAAGCGACACAATGCAAATTCTTTGGCTTTGTGGCCACTGCACGGTTGCCATGGAGCTGCTGCAGAGAACAAACACAACTCGACCCATGTTTTCTCAGCACCTTCCACCCCATGGCCTTTGCCTTGCAGGGTCTGTCCCCCGGCTCTATGGCACGGTCCCATATGGCACAGGGCATCCTTCCCCTGAGCATCTCCCGCCCAACCCTGGAGAAGGGCAGCAGTGGCAGCCCCACAGTGCCAGTTCAGGGACTGGCAAAGGGACACCCAAGCCTGGTGGGGAATGGAGAGGTCTGGGTAGGGACAGCACAAGGGAAAAGCTGCAGCAGGGATGCTCACAGGGAGCAGGGCTCACCCCATTGCTTGCATCGCTGCAGGTCAGGGCAGAGCCAGGGAAGAGCAGGAACCCAGCTATAACGTGGTGGCACCAAGCCCTTCCTGCACAGAGACCACAGCCAGAGGATGACTTTGGTGGAGGTGAGGTGGACAGTGAGGAGCCTGCGGTGAAGGAGATGCCGTCCTTGCACAGCTACAGGCCACTCGTGCCTCACTTTCCCCAGGCACCAAATGGGTGCTATGAGCCTGAACCCCTCTGGGTTCTCCCCATCCCAGCCCCCAAGCCTGTGAGGGGTTGGCTCCAACCCTGTTTTCCCTAAGGATGGCTCAGCTCAGCTCACCTGGGCTGTAAAGACCGAGGGAAACAGGAGGGATGGCAGGGCCGAGGGTCACAAAGGGCTGGCAGAGAAAACCATCCCCTCGTCCCCTCTCGGTCTCACCCCACTCCCACCGACCCCAGACTCTGCTCCTGTGCTCATCAAGTCCCTTCCTTGGTTCAGGCCAGGCTGGGGTGTGGGGTCAGTTTAACAACAGCGGCAAGGAGATCAGCAACGGTGGGATGGGGATGAGGTTTCTGCAAGAGACCTTTCCTGCCTGCATCGCTCTGCTCCAGAGGAGGAACCATGGAGGGAGATCACCAGCACCAGACACCCTGCGGGGCTGGTGATTCCATATGTGGGTCCAGACTGCTATGGAACTGTTTCCCCCACCTCTATTCCCCACAGACAAGATTTTTCCCTGCCCCATGTCTCCTCCTGGGCTTTTCAGCGGCACCCATTGAGCAGGAGCATAAAGCAGCAGAGTACGCAGTGCATGGACAGGCAGACACGATCAGAGTGAGGGGGGCACTTGTGCAGGACGGATACGGAGGGGGGAGCATCCCCCCTAACCCTAACCCTAACCCTAACCCTAACCCTAACCCTAACCCGGTGCTCTCCACAAACATTCCCAAACCCACTGCTCCCCAGGCACGGCGACGGGAACCAAGGCACGGGGAGGGAGGTGACGCCGCTCCGGGGATAGGGCTTGGAAAACCAAACTGGGAACTAAACCTCAGCGGGTGACCGCGTCCTCATAGCGCAGGGGAGCCCATGGCTGGTGCCCCGCACTCCGGCACAGCCCCCGGGGCCGGAGGGGCTGACCCTGTGCTGGGTGAGAGCGAAGCCTCCGGCCCGGCCGCGGACACCAGAGGGCAATGAACGCTCCCGCAGAAGCCACGGAGCCGGGACCCGCCGTGCCCCATCCCCACGCAGCCCCCTCCCCACGGCTCCTACCTGCACCCGGCTTCCCGGAGCGGCCGAAGAGCCAGGAGGAGCCGGCCCTGGCGCCCGCTGGGCTCCTCTTGCGGTGCGCGTTGCCCATGAGCGGCTCTCGCCCTCCACCGCAGCCGGTGGAGGAGGCCGAGGTGTTACATGGCCGGGCCCGGGCGGCCGCGGCACGCAGCGGCGTTCAGCCGCCGGCTCCCATCCCTCCTGCTCGCGGAGCTCGGCTCCCGCAGGCGGCGATGCCGGAGCCAATGGCACAGGCAGAGAGGAGGGGCCTGCCCGAATCATCCATCCCATCCCTCGCATCTCGCAGTACCCTCCCAGCTCCATCCCTCCGCAAGGGTGCCACGGCCACGGCGAGCGGGTGAAGGGAGATCAGTCCCCAAACGTCGGCACAACCGGACCCGGCACCGCCTCCATCCCCGCTCCCACCTCCCTTGAGTCTGTCCCTGAGCACAGCTCCAGCAACCGAAACCACAGCCCCGCTCCTGGGTCTGGAGGGTCCCAGCCCCATGGGGACCCCCCCCCCGGACAAGCCCAGCACGGCAAAGGCTAGAACAGGGTTTCCAAGGCGCCTGAAGACCCAGGCTGGGTCAAGCCGCTGCGCAACCTCCGGGCGAGCACCCACATGCCCGAAGGTGGATGTTAATTTAACCCCCGCCACCCTCTCCATGGTCACTGGAACGAGTCACACAACGGGGGGACCCCCATGGACATCCGCGCCAGGATCAGCTCATGGGGCTGGCACCTCCATCCTGTGCCCTCCCTACGCCAGACCCCGCTGCTGCCGAATGGGGCGAGCGGCCGGGGGAAGAGCGGCTCAGAGCATGGGCAGCGCTGCCCCAGCCCTGCATGGACAAGCCCGAAACACGGGCAGGAGCGTGTTCCCTCCTGAGCCCCGCTTTCCCTCGGGATTCCTAATGGGAACACGAAACGCTGCGAGGGCAGGGAGGGGGCAGCCAGGGAGGGGGCAGCTCCTGCTGGCAATGTTTTCTGTTCTGGAGGTGATTCATCAAAGGCTGGGATAAAGAGGAAGGAGGGCGCTGCGGGAAAGGCACAAAACCGGGGCATGAAAAATAGGAATCAAGCGGCAAGCTCAAGCGGCCGCTTTGTGCTGACCTCCCGAGGCGATGGGCAGTGAATTCAGGCTCCTTCTCCCCAGTGCAAGTATTAATGGTTCCGTTTCCCACCAGGTTGGTGTGCTGCCCCAAAGGCACAGCAGAGACCACCCTGTGCCACCGACAGGGCCTGTCCTCAGGCATTGCTGCTCTGTCTGCAGTAGGAGATGTTGAGGGAATGGGGGATCCAGTGGAAAACTTCTCCCCGTTTCCCATTATTGGCTGGACCCAGTTCAAGGGGCAGCTTTTCCGTCTTGGGGCAGCCAGGATTAAACACGGTCATGGTCAAAAGTGCAATGAATGAGAGGTCTCTGCGCACCGATGGGGAAGGCGATGGGTCAGATCAACAAGGCACACCTCCAGCCTGGGACAGGGCTTCCTCCCACTGCCCAGCACCTCTTGGGGACGTCGATCCCCTCGCAGCAGCACCAAAGCAGGGTGCAGAGACCCCTCCCCATGCCATGCAGTCCCCTCCCCAGTGACACAGGAGGCTCCTCTGCAGCCACACTTTCCCAAAGGAGCCCTTTAAGTTCTCCCTCTGCAAGGAAAGGAGAGGCTGGAGCCTGCGACTGCCCCAGATACAGCGAGACACTTCCCAAAACAGACACCCACTGCTCCAGCACCTGCCTCGGGAATGCTGGCAGCACCGGCACCAGAGCTTCACCGCCCCCAGCCGCAGCCTCGGATGCACCGAGGGGGCTCCGAGCAGGAGCTGAGCCCCAAGAGCCCAGCAAAGCCCACGGGTGCCATAAATATCCGAGTGGCTTCTCCGAGCTGGAGCAATTCCAATGGGGTAACTCAGAGCCACGTGGAAACCTGGCTCCTGCTCCCCCCGCTGGGGCCCATGGCTCAGTCCTGGTGGCTGGAAGCAGCTCCAGCATCCCCATAGAGCTGCATCACTGTCTGGGGACACAAACCCCCTCCGAAACCCATGGAGAGGCTGCACTGCCCCTGGCTGCTCCCATCCTTCCTCCCAGAGCTGGGGTTAAACCACAGCGCCCAGAAATCCACTGGGAAAACACGGCAGGAGAAGGGAAGCATTTGCAGCACGCGATTCCCAGCACAGCAGACTCGCTACAAAACCCAGTTGTGGAATGCCTGGTGGGAAGTGGGGGCAAGGGATGCTGCCTCCAGGCACAGTCCCTTCCCCAGAAGCCCCCAGCTGTACTCACTGAGAGCACTGTGATAACAACACCGAGCTGGGAGCAAGGGGGAGCTGCTCACAAGATACAGATCTCATCATCATCATCATCATCATCATCATCCCAGCGTGACTGCCACAGGCACATCTGATGTCCCACAGTCACACCCTCCCTCAGGCCAGCCCACACCAGCCTGGCAGGGACCCCTCTGCGCTGGCCCAGGGGGAACGATTCCTCCCTCCTGGTGTTTTCTCCATCATTCCCAGTGTTTCCTAACCCTGACGCCGTCGCCAAGCAAACACAGAGCAGGAGCTGAGATGCCTGAATGAGAAAGGAATTCAGCCCTTGTTCCCTTCACGGGGAAGTAAAGCTCAGCGAGGCAAAGGTAACAGAAAAACCCCACTTGAGATCCCCAATCATTAACAGAAATACATAACCAGGAGGGTTTCAGACGATTTCCTGCTCCAGCCGGAGCGTGGGTCGATGACAGCCCCGGCTCCAGCCTGCGGGAGCTCAGCTCCCTGCTCTGGATGAGGTGCTTTGAATCCATGCACAGCAGCAGCCACAGGGACCAGCCCAGGGCTCCGGCTCCTGCTTGGCAGGGAAATGCTTTTTCACTTCGTGCTTGCCCAGCTCTTCACCTTCCAGCAGCTTATGTTCCATCGCTGCTGGAGTGCGAGTCAATGATGATATTGTCTTATGAAAGAAGAGCTTCCTCCTGAAGGGAAATATGACTCCGGCGAAATAGTTTTATCGGATCTTATGGAACGTTATTCGCAAGGGTAATTCTTCCAGTTGTCTCCAGGTGGAATAGCTGTGGTTGCAGACACACCTCTCTTTGTTCACAGCAGGGCCGCTCGCCATGGCCAGGCCGTTCCTGCTGCTCACATCTTCTGAAGCGTCCCTCTTTGCCTTGTGCACGTTAACAGATCCATTCCCACACATGCATGGGAATGATGCTGGGAGTGGGAGCAGCAGGGATCAGGACTAAACCACACAGCCCATGTTTGCACCAAAGCAAGCACCACGCAGCAGTAGGGGACCCAGCGAGTTTTCACATCTCTTCTTATCAGACCAACACACAGGGACAGCCCCCACACTGCCTCCAGCACCGCACAGCACTGAGCCCAGTGCCACCAGCACAGCCCAGCCGCTGCCACCCCACCACACACACAGCAAAGCCACCTCGTGCCCTGCACGAGCACTTGCTGATGTTATAAAGCAGCTGGGCCCATCGAGAGCTTTATTTTTAACCCCACGGTATGTGTGTGTCCATGGCAGTCAGGAAATCTGCTGCTGCTGGATGAATCTGGCATCAGAAAGGGAAAGAAAAGGCTCCAACCCTAATTTAATCCTTCTGGAACATCGATTCCTTCACTTCATCAGAGAGTTAAGAAGAATGCTGTGTGAGTTAAGGAGGCTGTTGCGAAACCGGGATAAAGCAGCAGCCAAATCCAGCCTAAACCCATGGGCAGGTGGCAGGGCTCAGGAGCAGGCTCCGGGTAAGAGGCTGCCTTCACCACACAGGAGAAGAAAAAGCTTTCAGCTTCCTGGCTCCCAGCAAGGAAAATCCAGAGCTCAAGCACCCCAATTCCTTGCTCCGCACTGGACCCTCGGCACAGCCCAGCTGCGATCCCCACCTCGGTTCCCATCCCGGGGGTTAACGGCTCCTCTGCTTCCAAAGGTTATTGTGGAAATAAACAGAGGGGAATGGCAAGGCGCTGGGATGCAGCGGGGATGGGGTCATTGGGTGCTGGGCTGTGTACAGGTAAAACAGCACGGGGTGGTGGCACCCTGGCAGCTGCTGCACACCCCAGGGTGCAGCCCTGCAGCTCACAGCAGCAATTACCTTGCAGCAGAGTTTAACTGGCCTGAAATGGGGATGCTGAGCCAATGGGGCCCGTTTGCACAAACAGGGCAGAGCATCCAGCTGGGAAATGGGAGAGGATTCAACGTCCAGCCCCAAAGCTGCTGCTGTTCCCTATGGGAGAGGGAGCCTGGAACTGCCCACAAGCAGGATTACTGTGCTGTGCCTTTCCTCTACACAGCTCAGCTGTTTGAGCAGCCAGAGATAGGAGCTCTGATTAGATGGACCCATGGGATTCATCCAAAGTGGAAATGCTTTCATCCTCCTGCTCCCATGGTTTCAGTGCTGAGCAATTCCAACCTCAACAACACCCAGGTCATGAACGAGCCGATGTCCAGGCTGAGAACTGGTCCTAACCTATGTCTCCCTAGGACAGCGTCTCTCCTTCCCTCCCCATCCTGAGCATCCTGTGCAGTCCCTTCCCACAACCAGGATGTAAGAGGCATGGTCAGACGTGCTCTGTCCCCACTCCACAACCAAAGCCACCTGCAGGAACAGCAGAGTGATGAGGAGCTGATGGGCCACGGCCTGATCCAAACCACCCCCAGCACTGTGCACACCCAAGGGGAAGGCACCCAGAGCCACCAGGACCTGCTGGAGCTCTCCCCATTCCACAGCTCCCAGCTGATATTTGGAACAATTCCCATCTGGGGCAGGGCACATCCAAGCTGCTTCCCCACCCTGCACCATGGAGCAAGCTGATGCCAGCACAGCCAAAAGCACAGTCTGGAGGGGAGGGATGGGTCCGGCAGCCCTGGGCTGGGCCATGGCACTGCATCACCAGCATGGACCATGGGCAGGCGATGGGGCAGCTCTCCTGGATGCAGGGATATCCAATTGAGCAGGATGTGCTGGTGATGCCCCATCCCTGGCAGTGTTCAAGGCCAGGCTGGACAGAGCCTTGAGCGACACAGTCTAATGCAAGGCATCCCTGCCTATGGCAGGGGGTTGGAACTGGATGATCTTAGGGTCCTTTCCAACCCAAAGCATTCTATGATTCCACGTGAGGGATGTTGTGGCGAGCAGGCTGGAGGACCCCGAGCAGTGACTCCGCATTTCAGCTGGTGATGTTATGGCTTTATGGGGGAGGAAATAAAAGGGAAAGGAAAGGAAAGGGCTGGCAGCGCTGCTG